TCCTCTGCAGCGGAAGTGTACATCAAATCCCTTAGGTAGGTCTCTGATGGAAAGGATTTCGAGAACGTCTCGACATTGGTCTTGGCCAGAAGTCTGAAGTCAACCAAAAAAGCGGCAACAATAAGTGGGATTATGGTTGCCGCTTGGGAGATAGGCAGCGCTGGGCAACTGGCCAAGGCAATAACAATAAGTGACTTCATGAACCTAGAGCCGCCATGGAAGGAATTGTAGGAAAACCCCTTCTGCAATTCTTTCATCTGGTTTTCTGTGTTCCTCAGACGTTCCAGCTGACACTTCGGTACCACAGCATGTGTATGTGGGACGTTCACAATGGAGAAGGCACTCCCCTGACTGCTGATCTCGACATCGCCAACTTGAATTTCTTCCTTTGCTTTCTTCCTTTTTCGATTGTCCACGATTTCTTCAATTTCAGTTTGCGCGATCTCTTCTTCTGTCAAAACACTTTCGGGCGTGCTTCCCTCCTGCATTTCCACAACTTGATCGACGACCGCGGCCTTTGTTGCTAAGTGACTGACAGGTGTTTCCTGGATGCGACTCGCGTTCATGTTGAAACGAGTGTTCAGATAGTTGTTGATATCGCGTATCCAGTCAGCGCCCATGTTGAATTTGGCAGCGACATACTCATCATCAGGCTTGTATTTCCATGGAAGCTTGCATTGGAACTTCTCTCCTTTGTGGCTTTCATGGCGAGGCTTCTTCTTGAATGTGGCGGAAGCGTCTTCATAAAAAGCACAACCACTACAATACATACTCCGTTCCAAAGGCCATTCAGTGCAATACTTTATCCTACGGATTGATTTGGGTGGATTCTTCTTCACGATGGGTTCATCAGCAGCCACTTCGCTTCCTGCTACTGCGTCTGGTTGCAGCGGCAGCACTTCTGTCAGAGGGTAAAGAAGAAGATATCATTGTCGGCGAATACAATAGTAGTAAACAGTTTCTAGTTTCTTATATTACATCTAAAGCAATCGAACGAACGAAACAGCGCCATCCAACAGGCAAACACATTGAACGATCCGTTGGCATCAACACAAAACCAATGTGTTTCGATAGTTTAGAAAATGTGAGCGTTTCCATCTCATGATGTCATGATGCGACGCCCTCTAAATCTTTGTAGAAAATAGCACATTTACCCCATGGTTTAGAGTTCGAGTTGCTCTTGGATTTTCTCCAAATCGCCCTTGTTAAAATGGAACCTGCTCCACTCAAATTATGTCAACCCGACACAGCTCGGGCAGGTTCAGCAAATACATACTGTTGTTGTGCTGAACCTGCCCGAGCTGTGTCGGGTTGACAAGTTTTGAAATACCAACGGCTAGGCTTATCCAGGCTACAAGTTCGCGACAAAATCGGTGCGATTTTATTAGCGCGCAGGCCAGTCGGGATTGCTGGCTAGGTGGGGATCCGTGAGCCATAGAATCATTCTACAGTGTAGCTCTCTAGCTACAGACCTAGCAATTTTACTTTAAAGTTTTTCCCCAACTTCCCACTTTAAAGTCACTCGGGATTTCCATACATACATTTAAACTTTAAGGTATCCGATTTTCTATTTCCGCATGTACATTAATACTTTAAGGCATTCCTATAAATCTTTAAGATGGGCCATTAAATCTGACCTAACTCCACCTCATACAGGGACATTTCCTACCACCACCCACCCATACAGCTCACTGTAGTGGTCCCTCCTTGGTATTGTACTAGATGCTTTGCAAGCAATTCTATTGTTCACCATGTCATTGTTTGCTGGCTTTGAAAAGCAGAAACCGTGGACGAATTGGATACAGAAGATGAAGAGGAAAAATCGGCAACAATTAGGTAGATAGCAGCTTTTAAGCTTTAGGCAAGCATGTCATTACATGTACATGGACTTTCTTGTGCACTTCCCACTTTACAGATTCTGGCAAAAGTACTTAGTTATGAACCTACTCTTTATAGCCATGGTCTCCGTTTGTAAAGTATAGCTGCTGGGTCTGTAGAGAAAGAGATTCATTCATCATTCATTCTCTGGGGCTTCAATGGTTTCTCTTCCCTTTCTAGAGCTGTTGGTAGCTAGCCAGTCCAGGTACCAGTACCTTTAAATGTACCATACACCGGTTACTAGCTAGCTAGGTTTCACACCAAATTACGTCTCCTGAGACGACGCTCCTTTAGGTTACCCCCTCAGTTGCACTCTGAAATCGATTGGCTCGCGTTTACTGTGTAAATTAGTGTACCCGCACTTCAGTTGCAGAATCAACGGTCATGTGTATCGTGAAAGATTTAGATCGATTCGTGGATACAAGAACCGTTGAAGTTACTAAGGTTAAGGATAAACTGATTGCCTGCAGCTCGTACCGTTCAAGTCCATCATTGAAGGTGCAGCACTGACTTCTCTCCCTCATTGAATTGCTATGGCAAAGAGGAGAGAAATCCAAGCTTGGCCGACAAGAATGTTGTTGGAACGATTGAACGACTGGTACGGTACTGTACGATGTAAGCCTATTATCAAGAGCGTTAATTGTAGGTACAGCGCTGACTTCTCTCCCCCATTCAATTCCTATGGTAAACAGGAGAGAATTCCAAGCTCGGCCGTCAACAGGTGAGTTGGTTTTAATTATTCGAATCGATCGATCGCACCTCTATTATTATCCAAGCCGTCCTTCTCTGGTGCAGATTCGAAAGCCATCCCTCATTGAATCCTATGGACCGTGGGATGGCAGTCAGTTCTCGGCCCATGACGGCCAAGTTGGTGCAATTTGAAAAACAATGGTAAGTCTCCGGTCGTCTGCAATTGAGCACAGAAAACAAAACTCATATCTATTTGTTGTTTTCTCTGCTGCACTGCCGACGGCCGAGGAAATCCCATTGTCGCGGTCCAACGAACGATTGATCGCTCCGAATAACACGAGGAAGAAGAGGCTACCGCTACGGAGGTATGTGTACGGAGGAAACTGTTAACTTCAGCCCTACCAACAGCATGAACGACGTCTTCGAGTCATTGAATGGCAACAGTCAACCGGAGGAGGCTACACGACAACGCACAAAAGCACAGAGGAGAGTGGATCCTACTACTAGATTCATCCCTCCAGTGTTATTTCCTTGTGATTTGGTGGTGATTCCTGTGTCGGCACCCATTTTTCTGTATGCACAAGTCCTCGGGCGAACGACTTGCTTCTTTCGTAAGATAATAGATCATCGAGTCGTCGACTCATTGAAAGGGAACAGGAGCAAGGCTAGCTACTCGACAACACACAAGAGAGTGGATCCTCCTACCGATTCATCCCTTCTTGTTATTTCCTACTGTTTTGGTGGTGATTCCTGTGTCGGTACCCATTTTCCTGTATGCGCAAATCAAGTACTGTTTGCCACTAGCTATACGGCAGCTGGCTACAATGGTTGGATTGACAATATTCCGTTCTGCGTGTATTCGTCATAAGGATCCAATGCGAGGTAACGAGTGCAGCGAGCAAAGTCGAACCTGGTGTGTTCGATCTGTTGCCACTGTCACTGATCGATGAACTCTACGGTAGCTGGCTACGATGGCTGGATTGACATGTTCGGTTGTGCATGTATTCGTCATAAGGATCCAAAGCAAGGTACCGGTAACGGAGTGTAGCCAGTAAAGCGGAACCTGAGTGTGTTCGTGTACTGTCAGGGTCGATGTAACTCTACGGTAACTGGCTACAATGGCTGGATTGACAATATTCGGTTGTGCATATTCGTCATAAGGCCGCTCTCTACCAAGCGACTAAAGTAGCGACTAGCCATATTTCGTAGTTTAGTGTAGTTTAGTCTCTGGGGGTGGTGTCTACCCAAGCGACTAAACGTCCCACGGACTAAAGGCTTTAGTCATTATGTTCGCTCACCGACTAACGGGAGGCTGGTTAGTCGGTGAGCGAACATAACGACTAAAGCTCTTTAAGAACAGCTTTAAAAAAAGAACAGCGAACAGCACCCTCATCATTGCACAGCCTCACTATCAGAGCATCGCGACAGAGCTGATAGAGTAGAGGTGCAAAACAATACCACTGCACACCAAGTTGGATAACAAATTCCAACAGGATTACCACAGAGGTGCTTCGTGGGGTTCCGAACGATCGAAGAGGAGTACGATCGAACGAACGAAGATTGAATGATAGTAGTAGAGGTGCAAACGATCCGGTCGCACTCTTCAAAAAAAAAACAGCAGCCTCATTGCACAGCCTCACTATCAGAGCATCGTGACAGAGCTGATAGAGTAGAGGTGCAAAAGAGAGAGTAGAGGTCAAACGATCGAACGATCGACCGATCGACGATGTGTGTTTTGAGTCTTTTATCTCAGTCTTATTATCTCAAAAAAGTAATCATCACTTCTGTTAATCTTTGTTTGAGTCCTTTAAATCCACCATGCTGATAGAATATTGGTAGCCATCACTTTTGTTAAATCTTTTTTGAGTCCTTTAAGTCCAGTAGTGTTCCGTTTAGTCATTTGTTTAGTCGCCAGGTCGCCATGGTAGACACCATGTTTTGACTAAAAACTGACTAATTGTTTAGTCCGAGATTTAGTCATCTGCTGGTAGACACCACCATTACTAAAGGATAATGACTAAATCTTGAACTAAACAACCACCTAAAGGTTTCCTTTAGTCGCTACTTTAGTCCCTTGGGTAGAGAGCGGCCTAAGGATCCAAGTAGCGAGCAAACTGAGGAAACAGGAGACGAACGCTGAAAAAAAGTGGAATGTTGTGCCCTTTCACGAACTGTCACGTCCTCTTAGTTAGGGTTAGAGACTTCATTAGTGAGAAAGGTCCCGTCACCCTCCAAATTTTTGCAAGATCTTTCGCAAGTCTTACAAAGCCTCTGAAAGCCAACAACCAATCTCGGTGTTGGTTGGCCTTGTTGGCCTTTTCGAGCGGGGAGCCATAGACCAAAGGCATACGTCGTTGTTGGCCTTTTAGAGCAGGAATCCATTCATACTATCCATACATACATTGCCACAAAGCAAAGCAAAGCAAAGCAAGATGGTGAAGAAGCTGGTACTCCCCCCGAGTCCCCAAGCCAAACGGCAGAAAGCGGTTCAAGCATTTCTGCTGACGAGCGGCCTTTTAATTTGCTTTTCCTTCTGGAGATTGGTTTGCAGCTCGTCGTCCTCTGATGCCATGGCAGCCGAAATGCTCTTGTTTTCCAACATGACAAAGACGCAAAGCAGCAATATTCGGTTGTCTACAGCAAGAGAATACCGCAAATACGACCGTTTCGATCATTTGAAAAAGAAGGATCCAGCGTACCACATGAATTCCCTTCCGGCTCCTACGTACCATTTAGTCATTTCGACGGGTTGTTCGACGTTTCAGGATTGGCAATCCTACGTCATGTTCTTTCATGCCGTCAAGTCGGGACAAGTGCGAGTAAGCGATACTACTGACAACATTAGCTATGTGACTCGAGTCGCATCGGGCTGCAGTGACGACGAGGCCCTCCAAATGGACGAGATTCATCGTCGCGATATTGCTCCCATGGCACCGGGACGGTTCTTTCTCCACCATACACCCGAATACAAATACAGCAAACCGGGCATTGATTACAAATTCTTCAACAAACCCATGGGATATCGACATTGGATGAGTCATGCATTACGGTATCCCTACAATCACGACAAATACGACAATGTCACGTATATATTATTGGATCCAGATCAAATCATTCTGAGACCGTTCACCAACAATTTTACAATCGGCAAAGAACTATGGGGTGGCCCCTTTCAAGACAAACGAATCGTGAACCGTTTGCGCAGGAATATGCCTTTGGAGTCCAATTCTTCAATGGGTTGAAAATGGACAAGATTGCCCAAAAGACCGAAATCCCTTCTAGAGTCTCCAAGCTGGATCTACAAAAGGAAGCCTATTCCTACATGGTGGGGCCACCCTATATTATGAAGGGATATGATCTCTGGCGGATCATTAGCAAATGGGCCGAGTTTGTGACACATGTCTATGAGCAAGTAGTAGACAATCTGGCTCGAGTTGGAATGTGATTCTGTTTGGCAAAAAAATACTCATCATTCATTCATCCCCTTTCTTTGACATATTATTATGACATGTGACAGAAACCAGAACATCTGAGTGAAATGTATTCCTACAGCATTGCTTCCGCTCATTTGGGTTTGAAACACGCCGTGGCACATTCCTTTATGGTTTCCAATGTCGACATTATGGCAGGCGAAGCATGGAGTCTCATTGACAACAAGGACGGCGACGATCTATGCGACAATTTCCCACCAAACGAAATGCCCCATGTCCTCCATCATTGTCAATTCTACTCTCTCGGCAACTACTTCTTTTCCAAATACCATTTGCCAGGAGACTTTATTTCCTGTGAGTCGCCCTTGCTGGTGGCACCGCCCAGCAATTTTTCCAAACTCTACAATTATGCCTACTGGCCGCACAATCAGGAAAAGCGTCTCGACTATGCCAACAATCCGCTCAAAATCAAACGGAATGCCTTCGCCGTGTGTCATATGATCAAGAGTATGAACGAAGCAGCCATCTACTACAAACAGCAGCATTGCAATGATGCAACTGCCAACTACAACCGCACACTCACATTGCCTGTCAAATAAATAAATGAGCTACCAGACACGGCACTTGCTGTACATAATACTATGTGAGAGCCATGATGGTGAGTTTTGGACTACTTACCAAATCCACTTGCGCTGTGCGGTAGGTGGCTGCAATGGCACAAAATTGTGAAGAACTCGTGACAATAAACGCTGTCTGCTACCGATTGCAAGAAACCCTCGTCTTTATGCAATCTTGCTTGCCAGCTAGCCAGCTTGACAGCGCAAGTCATGTCGTGCATGGCCAGTGGGGATTTTGGTTTCGTTCGGTACGGTGAAAAAGTGTATGTGCCCGGAGAACGATTATTGCCATAGAACAAAGTTGGACCACGTATCCTGGTGGCTGGCTAGCAGAAAAAATCAGTGGTCAGCACCTCACTGCCAGTAATGTGTACGATGTGCATAGTTGCAGCTATGGTTGCGTGGTTCTGCATCCATCTCGCTAGCTAGCTAGCTATTGGTATTGTACTGTCAAGAATGATACAACAAACGATTATACAGTTAGTTTTTGACAGGAAAAGCTCCACCGTGAACCCCCCTTTGGAAACCACACCCACATTCTCTTTTTAGTTAGTTAGGACCCTTGACAAGCAAACATGACGAGTGCTTCTCCGGCATCAAACTTTTGCATTTGCGATTCCGTGTTGCTCAAGTTTCGTCCGACACTATGAGTGACCTGTTGCTGATGGTCGTCTTGATCGTTGGAGACAATGGAATGCTGGGAATGGTCCGACTGTTTTTGTGGCTCTTCCATTACGACGTTTTCGTCCATGACGGTCTCATCGTCATCATCACTCAAATTGGCTCCGGATGGTTTGTTGTCGTTCTGCTGTTGCTGCTGCTGCTGTTGTTGAATGCTGGGGTCATCCATTCCGGGCATGGTCATGGGGGTGCTGTAGGATGATGGTTCCTTATTATTGTTGTTGTTTTCTTCCTCCATGGGTTCCGGGTAACTGAACAACCCCACCTTGGTGGATTGTTGTTGTTCTTGCTGGTCTTTGCCGTTGCCGGTTGTTGTGGCGCTGGTAGTGAGTGTTGCCAGATTGGGTAGCTTCCATAGCTGCGCACAGATGGTCGCCATGGACACATCCAAAGAGTCAATTCCAACGGGCTTTTCGTTGTTTTGCTCATCCGTTCCATCTCCTTCCTCCTCGTCGTCGGAGGGTGCTCCTTCCTGGCCTTGGACATGCATATTTTGTACCAATGCCTCAATTCGCTGACAGATTTCTTCTTGCAATTCTGCCAAACGCCGTTTTTCCCGTGCCAATACAGCTCCCTTTGGCATTTTTGTATCGTTGGATTGCTGTTGCTGTGAATTATCCAAGTAGTCTTGTTCCTTGGCTCCTAGGACATCCAATAAATTGTCTGACAACGTCCAGTTGTGTTCGGCAAATTGTTGCAAGGATTGACTGCAGTGGTGCAATTGCGTCAAGACCGTGTGCATTTCCCGGTCCAATATCCGGAGTGTCTTTGTCGTGTTGTACTGACCTTGGACCTGCAAGAGTGGCACCAATGGCCGCAAATAGGGGTGACTCTTGTTTGGTTGGGTAGTTGGTTGTGAGGATGACGACTCGGAACTGATCAATTTGAGTTGGAATTGTCGACTCCAAGCGCGTTGTTCGAGACTGTCATTGGCGGCGGCAAAGAGAACATCCCATTCCTGACTCAGCGACACAATTTGCAACAGACACCGGGCTTCGGCACGCGCCAACAACGGTTTGCCATGACAAGTCGCATGAGGAGTGGGAATCTGACGAAAGATAATCTCCAACGGAACCGCCAAGAGGTACTCCAAACTCGTGCTGTCCAAGGACGACAATGACTTGTCGAGCATGCCGTGATTGTCGTCGACCATCGCACTACGTGTGGATTCATCCTGTGGCAAGTCATCTTGACTAGTACTGCCACTACTGCTACACGTCTTGCGTTTACGAGAATTCGATTGGCTCATGGTTGTCAAGTACTGTTGGCTCGGAAGAGGCAGTCTGAAGAGGAATGACAATGATGAAATGATCAATCGTCAATCGGAGATGAGCACAAAAAGCACTGCCTCGTCTGCACGTCGTTCTCGTCTCCGTTGAAGCACGGGCTTGGCTAAGAGTTGATGCCAAAAGGAGGGGGAATGTGTGCGTGAAGTAATCTGAAAATACCCCATTATTCTGCTTTCTGAAGGTACCGGTAGCGAGGGTAATACCGGTAAAACCACAGGGGCAACCCGTTTCCACGGTACTGTACGCTACCGGTACCTGGTACCACCTTCGAAGCGGACTGGCTATCGGTATCATAGTCCTGGTGGGAAACTACTTACATGTACCGTACTGGGCTGATTCCATCACGGCGACAATGGCTGCGTCTTGGAGTGCCATGCAACACGTGGTACTAGTAGAGAGCTCCAGCACCATGGCCAACGGCGAGGTGCAGCCAGCAGCCAAGGTGTTGCGTTTGCAGGTTCTGTATCTTGAGGCAGGCAGCCAGCGAGGAAAACTGGAAACCAATCAACAGGTTCCGAGCCATGGATAGCATCGGCTGCAACTTCAACGCTTCAACCAACCAGAAAAACTTGCCGGCCTGCATTTGATAGCCTCCCCCACAACTTCCGGTAGCACTATCATATCATACCCAGCCATCACGACTTTGTACGTTCACATGAGGAGATCCTCACAGCCAAGTGGAAGCTGTAAACTAACTGGCTGGACAAAGATATAAAGATACTGCTAAGATAGATAGCTAATAAAAGATCCACCCTCGGGCTTCTGATCCAATGAAACAGGAGCTACCCAAGCTGCTGCACAACAGATTGTTTGCTCTGCTACAAACAATTGGAAATGAGAAGGATCGTGTCATGAGAACCGAATCCAAGACGAGTTTATATTCCTGGAAAAGAATGTCGGAGAGAACTTTAGTTAGCCAATGGTGACGGGTGTTGCTGTCACGTCTCTGATTTGCCAAAAAGGTATCTTTTGGGCAGCTCACAAAATGATGGATTCTCATCAAAATTTCGGCGGGATGAGAGCCATCTGGTTTTGAGAACCCTGTGGTTGGAGGCAGCATAGCAACCAAGGCTACCGGGAGAAGGTAGGTGTCAACTCGAATTGGCGGCTGTGATCTTGGTGTTGCGATCAATCCTGTGGTAGGCGTATGTGCTACTAGCATTGGCATATCGTACGTTAGTTGGTTGAGTTCGCTGGCCGCTTCCCATCCATCCAAAGCGAAGCTTCTTGGTTGATGTATCAATTCTGTTGGCAGTTGAGCCATCATCCATCCTCTCCCACAAAAAAGGCAAGACAACAGAAGAAAAATATTGAAGTGATTGATATTAAAAGTACAAGACAGAGGTTTGGCTCCTCTTGGAACAGATAGATACATTGATATAAGCACCCACGGTAAAGGACTCGCAGACTGACTTGCTGAACAAAGATTGGAGACTGACAAAGCACAAAAGATATTTTTGATTCATTGGACATCACCCCAAAAGATTTTCAACATGGATACTGTTGTTGAAGGCTTCATGATGGATCCTACTAATGCTACTGAAGCACCAGACTCGACCGTCCTCTCGGCATCGACTCCAATCTGGATCGATGAGGTGTGGCTGGATACTGTGGCTGTGGTTGGATTGACATGCTTTATCCTGTGTCTCATGGGCCTCAGCAAGGTAAGTGATGTCGTTTCTTGTTTGTTTGATGTTGCAGTGTCACGCCCAGTTGGGGTATCTTTTGAAGACACATCATGCTCACACATCATACCCCTTTGAAATATCACCACCCTCATCTCCAATACAGGTCCCGACCGCCAAAATGGGCATGCTCTACGGTATGGCAGGCATGGGCGCTCTCATTGCGGCGTACTGGGCCGATGAGGCGTACACCTACGAAGATGGCACTTGGTTGATTGCCGTCAGCATGGCCCCTGGAATTATCCTTGGACTTGGATCTGCGTTTGGAGTGGCCATGACGGGCTTGCCAGAGATGGTGGGAGCCTACAATGGATTTGGTGGATTGGCAGCTGCTCTCGAAGGAATTGGATTGTATCTGGACGAAGATTCGACCACTCTGATGCGCTATGGCAATTGGCAAGCTGACCAGACCAGCAGCATGTTGTGGGTGCAAGCAATCGCTCTGGTCTTGAGTATCATTATTGGAATGATGACATTCACTGGAAGTATGATTGCTGTCGGAAAGTTGAACGGCACCATTGCCAGCAAGCCGCGTGTCATCCCCTTTCGAGGGCTTTTCACGCTGCTGATTTTCGCAGCCATGGCAGTCTTTGGAGCCTTGGCATTTGCCGGAGAGCCCGCTTGGAACAATCGCAAGGAGGGTCTTGCATTCTTGCTTGTGGTGACCTTCTTGGCCGCAGTGGAGGGTATTGCAGCTGTCATGGCAATTGGAGGAGGTGACATGCCAGTCAGTATCTCGTTCCTCAACTCGCTCTCTGGATTCTCAACCTCCGCGGCGGGTTTCATGTTGTCCAACAAGGCCTTGGTGGTTGCTGGAGCCTTTGTTGGATGCTCTGGAATTATTTTGACCTTGGTCATGTGTAACGCCATGAATCGGTCTGTGTCCCATGTACTCCTCGGAGGATTTGGTGACGGCGCTTCACCGGCTCCTGTCAAGGCCGACGGCGATTCCCCAGAAGAACAGGGAACTATCCAAGAGGTCTCATCCGAAGATGTTGTCGAGATGTTGACAAGTGCCAAGTCTGTCATCATTGTTCCAGGATACGGCATGGCTGTCGCCAAAGCTCAGCACACTATTCAGGAACTCACTTCACGCTTGCGATCTCGTGGTATCAAGGTCCGATTTGCCATCCATCCCGTGGCTGGACGTATGCCGGGACACATGAACGTGCTCCTTGCAGAAGCCAATGTTCCCTATGATATCACCTTGTCCATGGACGACATCAACCCTGACTTTCCCGAGACGGATGTTGTATTGATTCTAGGAGCCAATGACATTGTCAATCCAGGAGCTGAGCGTGACCCCCACAGCCCCATTGCAGGAATGCCTGTCCTGAAGGTCTGGCAAGCGAGTAAGTCAAGTCGCCCTATTATCGTGAGCCTCGTTCTTCTTCTTTGGTATCGGTGTCGCTGACGATGCACTTCCAACCTTTTGTCTTTCAGAGCAAACCATTGTGATGAAACGTAGTCTCCGTGTCGGTTATGCTGGAGTCGACAATCCTTTGTTCTTCCATGAGAACAACGCCATGTACTTGGGCGATGCCAAGAAGAGCACCGACAAGCTTGTGGAACTCATGGGCGAAGCTTTAGACAACGGGGCTGCCGATACCAATACAGGAGATGTGGAAGCCCAAGAGTCCGCCGCACGAGACGAAGAACGCAAAAAGGACGAAGAATTCATGGCCAGCATTCCCACGTTGCACGCAGAAGCAACCCTCAAGCTTGGAGTTATCAAGGAAACCGAGGATGGAGAGAAAAAGGTTGCCGTCGTCCCCGAAGGTGCCAAACGACTCTTGCAGAAGGGAATCCGTGTCCTTGTCGAGACTGGAGCTGGAAACGGTGCCGACCTCTATGATTCTTACTATGAAAAGGCAGGAGCAACCGTCCTCTCTAGTGCCCAAGCTGTCATGGATCAATGCGACGTCCTTGTCAAGATTCGCGAACCCATTGTCCACCCTGTCACTGGACGACACGAAATTGAGATGCTTCCTGCTGGCAAGTCCATGATCTGTTTTGTGGGACCCCGCACAGACAAGGGCAAAGAACTGTTGGCCAAGGCCAAGGAATGCCGTGTCAATCTGCTCGCTGTGGATGCCATTCCCCGTATCTCGAGGGCACAGGCTCTGGATGTACTAAGTTCCCAGGCCAAGATTGCCGGATACCGCGCCGTCGTGCAAGGCGCCAACAACTATCAACGCTTCTTGAACGGTGAAGTCACTGCTGCCGGTAGCTTCCCACCCTCCAAGGTCTTGGTTATTGGCGCCGGTGTGGCTGGATTGGCCGCCATTGGAACGGCCAAGAACATGGGAGCCATTGTCCGAGCCTTTGATACTCGTTTGGAAACCAAGGAGCAAGTGGAATCGTTGGGGGGAGATTTCTTGGTCCTCGACTTTGGAGCCGACGAGTCTGGAGGCACTTCGTCTGGATATGCCAAGGTCATGAGCGACGACTTTTACCAAAAGGAGATGGAAATGTTCAAGAAGCAGGCCCGCGAGGTGGATGTCATCATTACCACTGCTGCCATTCCCGGACGCAAGGCCCCCGTCCTCATCAAGCAAGATGCCGTGGATGTCATGAAGGCAGGCAGCGTGATTATTGATTTGGCTGGAGCCACTGGAGGAAACTGTGCCCTCACCCGACCCGGCGAGTCCTACGTGTACGAGAAGAGCCGAGTGACGATTATTGGTTCCGACATGACCAACCAAGCCATGGCATGGCAAGCATCGACGATGTACAGCAACAACGTCGTCAATCTGTTTGATATTCTCTTCAAGGAGAAGCAGTACAACATTGACATGGAAGATACGATTGTTCGCGGCATGACCTGTGTCCATGAGGGCCAAATCACCTTCCCACCCCCCGACAGTCTGTTGGCTACCAGTGCCGCCCCTGCCAAGAAGCAACAAGAGATGGCTGTCCAAGAAGTTGTCGAGAAGAAGCCCGGTCTGCTAGACACTCGCGTGTTTGATTTGGCACCACTGGGAGAATTCGTGGCCATTGCTTTCATTGGTGTCTTCTTTGGCATTGTGGCGGCATATGCTCCTGTCAGCTTTGCACAACAGTTGGGATACTTTATTTTGGCTGGCTTTTTGGGATACTATTTGATCTGGAACGTGGAGCCATCACTCTTCAGCCCCTTGATGAGTACCAGCAATGCCTTGTCCGGTGTTGTCATTTTGGGAGGTCTCTTGATGGTTTCCAACGATACTGGCTCCCCAGCATCCGTCATGGGATGCATTGCGACGGGTGTGGCCGCCATTAACGTGTTTGGTGGCTTTGCAGTGTCCTATCGTATGCTGCTCATGTTCAAGAAGGAGTAAAAGCAACAGCACAGACAAACAAAACAACAACATGCGCCTCGTTCTAGCTTTCTTTTTCCGTTCCTCGCTGCGTGATTACTACATGACCATACATGATAACCAAAATAGTTGCATTTTTAAAAACTTTTTGCACTGCTAGAATTACACGCATCATAGAATAGATGCAGTGGTAGCGAACTGTAGCAAGTGTGAATTGGATGTGTGGACATGCAAGTGCGGTGTGGGTACCCTCCTTACACCTTGGGCACAAAAGCCTTTGCCATGGATTGGGCCAAGCAACTTCATCATGCACTCTTGTTGCTGCAAGCCAACAAGAAGACATTGTCCATGAGATACTTGACATTTGAAGAAAAGTGGCTGGGCTGGTAAAAGATGTTGGCTTGATTATGAGGACTTGCGCCATCAAGTTGCAGTGGTGGCACCAAGAAGTGGCAGTGGTTCTTTGATGAGGGGCTAAACCAGTTCGATGCATTGATAGGGGGGAGCGTGATTGCTTGCTACCGGTACATGAGATGCTACATGATAACCAAAATAGTTGTTTGCATATTTTAAATAGTTTTTTGAGCCTATTAATAGAATTGCACACAGAATAGAATAGATGCAGTAGCTAGTAGCCATGGTAGCAAGTGTGTGAATTATGTACGGTATGTATGCATGCGCAGGTAGAGTAGTGGCTTAGGCCTCGGGTGCAAAGGCATTGGCACTGGATTGTGCTGACTTCATCATGCGTTCTTGTTGTTGCAACAAGAAGACCTTGTCCATGAGATATTTGACATTTGAAAAGTCGTTCAACTGGTAAAAGATGTTGGCTTGATTTCTGAGGACACATGCCATCAATTCGTAGTGGTGGCAGGAAGTGGCAGTGGACGGCTCCGTGATGAGGGGCTGCACCAGTTCAATGCACTGGTTGTAGAGAGTGTTGGCCTTTTGCAAGGCCGACCAGCCACCTCGTTTGTGCAGGCAAACGGCGCAGTTGTAAATGAGGACAGCCGAATAGTAAGCCAACATGTTCAAGGTGAGTTCTTGATCTTGATCTTGTTCTTTGTCATTGCCGTGGTAGGCAAACTCAAAGACTGGACTGGCAAAGCATTCCTTTTCCATCATGTCTTGCTCGGTAAGGCATCGTCTTGCCAAGGACACTTGACCGACGATGGCGTGGCGTGCACGGTCGTCGTTGTCATTTTCTTGATCGGAGGTTACTTGTTGGCATTGTGACAAGAGTCGGATTGCAGTGCGGTAGTGCCCAAACGCCTGGGAGGCATCTCCAGTCAGCAAGAGCTGATTGGCACAGGTGTTGAGGTGAGCGGCGAGCTTGAGGTATTCCATGGTGATAGTGGTAGTGGTAGTAGTTGTTGTTGGTGAGTGACTCAGTGAATGAATTTTGTGAGCTCTTCCCCTCTGTCTCATTTTCTCCTCCTCCTATCCTCTCTTCTCCTGATAATCAGCTGCTCCTGATGCGTTGGGTCAAGGTTGGCTCAGGCAATGCACCAAATCCAATAACAGATCGGGGTAAAGAAGATGTTCTCTCTGGTGTTGGAGAAGCTTGCGGACACCATACACACTGTTGCTCTTCACGTTTTGGGTGCAGAGCGAAAGTGGATGGTCAAAGCGGCGTCAATTACATTGTGAGCGCGATTAAAATCACGACCAGCAATGCATGACCGAACAACGTGCGGTATTGGTGTCTCTTTCAAGTATTAGAGGGTTGTTCCACACTTTCGTCCATGCCTGTTTTGCTCATGTTTCAGGTTTCTACATGTACTTGAAGTCTAAGCAAAAGTTCATCAAATCCGTGACCTTTATTTCTTTCTTTCCTTTCGCTGGGATCAACGGACATAGAAAACACTTCCTGGATGATCGATTATCTATTGGGACATTGGAACCTTCGCCACGATCAAAGGCGACAAGACTGTAAAACAAGAGCGGTTTATGGGATTGCTCCCCAAAAATAAAAGTTGGGTGATGCAATTCAGCCAGCTGTACCAACTTTTCAGACTGAGGGACCCACCACGAGCCTAATGGAAGGGGCGAAGAAAAAATCTCAGAGCAGCAACCAATCAGCAACTCCAATGGTGTGCCCATAGAACGGAAAGCATGATTGACAAATGTTTCAGCACGAGCATTGAATGTCGTCTTGTCAAACAAACCAAATTTGATTGGTCTGCAAAGTGAAAATGGTGAGAGAAGAGGCTGTTCGACCGTTCCTTCGGGCTATTCCTTCCCTGCTTCTTGACGAGTAAGCGGGTAGCTAGCTAGCCAGCGTTTTCGTACGGTCCGAATTAGATGGGGGATAAAATGGTGGTTGGCTGCTTTCTGTTCCATGTGGCCATTCATTCCATTGCAGATCGACGAGTAACTCTGGTTGGACTAGCTAGCTAGTAGTAGTACTGTGGCTGAAAATTGGAAGGACATGTTGGTAGATAGAGAGTGAAAGCCTGGTGACCAGCTTTCTGTTCTATTTGGCCATCCCTACGTCTTGGAATCTACCTGTCGACGAGTAACTTTGATCTTTACGGTTGGCTGGCTGAGAGGTACGATTGGTATGTCTCCAGCAGTCTATGATTTAGACAGAGGAAAAGTAAGTAGAATGGCTGGTTCAGTTCTTTCTAGTATTTGGCCATTCCGGCTCTAGCCGGGCTAGAACTTCCTACGGTACTTGTTTCGACGCAGGAGTAGCCGAATGCTTTCCTCAAAGGCAAGAAGCAACTGTGTCCTTAGTACTACTACTCGTTCTCGGTGGATGGAGTGGTTGCTGCCCCTGCTTCACTGGAACCCAGAGGTTTCATACGATAAGAAAAACTTTGGCTGCTTTCTGACAGCTCGTTCCAACCACGAATTCAACAGAATAGAAGCCTTACTTGCAAAAGCTCTTGCAAATCACATCGTTAGCTACAGTTACGAGCAGAGCTTCTTGCTAGCTCGTAATAATGAACAGCCAAGTCTGCTTGAGGCACCTTGTTTCTTCGGGTTTACCTCCTTGCAAGCAAGAGGCACACTGTTTCTCCGTACTGGCATCATTGTTGGACTCATTCCTCATGCAACATAAAGCCACCGAGGAACAAGAAACCAAGAAGCTAGAGGGACGCAGGTAGCATCTCTCCTATCATACGACCGTTTTTGTATAATCACTCGTTTGTTGTCGTATCCCACACTGCCTGCTTGGGCTTGGCCCTCTCGCTGGTACTACCAGAACTAGCTACTATGATATCACTTCCTTGTACATCTTTTGTTTGTTCAACTTGGTTTCACCCAACCACAGTTAACTTACTTGGTGGCACCGGAATCCAGAAGGTAATTGCGGCTTGGGTTCTCTTTACCGAAAGAAGAGCCTACTACCGGTATCGTACACTCTATCGATAGCTAGCTAGCAGGAGCAATGGCCGTAGTACCAGTACTGTACCTAGCTAGCCAGGTCCTTGACACAAAGACATTCAATATCACACACATACGCGTAGATGCATTGCATCTACTTTGCCGTTCATTCTCCTCCTCGGCTTCTGCTTTGGCTCGTCGGTTCTGTGTTCTGTGTTCTCTGCCGGTATCAATACCACCAGAGCTACCACCGGACGGTACCGGTACCAGTGGCGGGTACCGTAGTGTTGCGGTAAGGGGTTAGTAGACTTGTAGCTCATGTTGAAGCCTAACCATTCCAAAGCCAGTCAGTCACATTTCGATGATGTTCACTCTTGCTTTGAACCCACGCCAAGACAACATGTGCGGGGTTGCAACTGACTACGGATACTCTAAACTCTAAACATGCTATCCGTCTGTGCTAGATATCAAAGCGGAACCATCCAGTGACAACCAAGTCTTGACTTTGAACAATTGCAATAGAGGAGCCATAGGTTCATAGGTTGGTCTTTTTCGTCGTCGAAGCATTGCTCACTGACCTGTATGCACTTGCTCACTTCAAGACGTCTGGAAAGGAACGATGATTCAATACTTATATTCGTGCTAGAGCAGACATTGGCTGTGCACTTTTTATTCACTTCATTGGGGATTGGGGAGACGGTATGAATGGCTTGGTTGCAGCTGTAGCTGCCAATTTGCCAATTTACTGCACGGCTTCTCTATTATTAAAGCCGTTCCGGACCATCCATCAGCTCTAGTAGAAGACAAGAAGCCAATCGAGGCGTCAACCCTTTATCGCTTTGAGTTCCAACTTCCAACGACTTCCAGAGCTGCGACTCGGCCGACTCTGGGGGCATCTCTCTCTATCTCTCGGACTCTGTGTTTCAATGTTTCAATTGCCACCATCCAAAGACAGCAGTCGCTCCGCGGAGGTCCCGGTACGACCGCCCTTCTTCAAGGCACCTAACCCAATGACTACCGTACAGCCTTGACAATACAACGCAACGGCCGGAAGCAGGGTTGAAGCGTTGAAACCTTGGATCCGCAGTTGAACAATAAGGGCGAGCAAACTTCAAGAACGGTGGCCATTATCCTCATGATGAAACAATTGTTATAGAGTTCATCGCATTGGAATTCTTGTCAAGCACGACCGTCCACCTCAAAAGCAAAGCCATATAGATTCGATTCCTCGGCAGACACGGAAGTTCTGTCGTGTCTCTTTCTCCGCTTCTCCGCATTTGTGGCAAACATACATGTCGGGCAATCCCCAGCTTGAAGCTTGCCTATAAGCCAGAACGCTAAAACACAGTCCATAGTCGATAAAGGAGCTTCTGTAAGGAATCAGCTCCACCGTAGCTAATCATGGAGAACGCACCCCAAAGCTCCGCATGATGATGACTTGAAGAGATACCATCATCAGCTCCATCATCTAACTAACTAATAAGCTTATCTCTTGTTTTTTAAAAGATCGTGTACATGTACAAGTTCACTTTCGCAGGAATAGAAGCCTTTAGCAGCTGTGATCTTTAGGCCTATTCGGACATTGTAGTTCTTTTCACCAGAAACCTTGCAGTTTTGTTTAATACATTTGTTGAACTTTCGAAAAGATGGGGGCCTGAAGACCCTATTGACCAAGACTCCACTACCAAAAGAAGCATTAGTGAGACTGCACTCAGTGAATGACGTAAACGTTCTCCTCAACCTTCCTCAACAACAGCTTGAGCCCTCATTATCTTGTCGCGCCAGGGCAATACTCTAAATCTTTTATAATGAGTGTTCAAGCGGGCAGCTGTCAAACTTAAAATGGCAATGCAAGAAGCGGCAATAAAAGGTCACCGCGTCTGAGAAGTACGAAGAGTCGGGGCATTTGTCATTCTGGAGTCACAACTTCAATTAAGATCAATGCCAGGATTCGAGACATAGAGAAGAAAGTGTCTTACTTGAAGGGTACAACACTTAAGCTTATTCAGCAACACGTAAGAGGGAGCTAATACCATGAATGTCTGTTGTGGCTACGTGGCAGAAATCAAATGCAAGTTTTCTCCCTCAGCATCCGAGATGGATCCTGAGATCTTGCCACCTCTGTTCATGCATGCTTGTCAGCCGCTCTTCTTTCCTCTTTCCTCTGATACTGGGACTGCTGAAGCCCACAACCGTTCCTCTTTTTCTCCAGCTCACAATCTCAACGACACCACAATCAAGAAGCTACCTTCACTTTTATCAGCTTTCAATAATATGCCCAACAACATGAACAAAGCTCTGACCCGAGCCGCTAAAGCCAACGAAGAAGGAGCTTGCCTTTTGGAGCTGGAAGACACCAGCAAGGCACTGCGATACTTCCGCTCTGCACTGAAGCAATTGAATGAGGGATGTCAAAACGCGGGAACATTACCCTCTGGATCTCGCCTCTCTTCCAGTGAACTCTCCCTCATGTCTCTGCTTGGGAACGCCGTTTCCTCCAAGCCCATCCGATTGGGAGAAGATGTACAAGCCGCCGCATTGCCTGCCTCTCCCGAGAATCCCACTGTCCTGTACAGCCAAGCATTCGTCTTTGAAGACCCCACCAAAGCCTGTGGCCGCCTGACGATTGAACGACACAGCTTTTGCAGTGCCGTGCTCATCTACAACACGGCACTCGCACTGCATCAAAAGGGCAGCAAGGAAGATGGCCACAAGGCGTACCTCAAGGCACTCCTCTTTTACGGAGAAAGCATGAACTTGCTGCGTCCGGTGGCAGAGGAACCAGAGTCCTTTCGTGTTATTCAAGAGATCATGAAGAACCAAGCCGATATCTACTACAAGCTCAATGATCTTGGCAACGTCCAACGAGTATGGGAAGAGCTGGCCAATCTGACCAAGGACCGCAACTTGGTCGGATTCTGTCAAAAGACACACACCGCTGTCTCTGCATAGTAGTAGCCATTGAACATTGCTTGCCACACAAGGACATCTGTTTACATTCAAAACGTTGTACATGCTAACCTTGAAGACAATGCACATAACCCTATACATAAACCATACCATTGCTATCTTACTAAAGGATCAACTACACGCTTAGACATGTACGTGTTTACTCTAGCTAGCATTGGAGCAAGCGCTCACTCAACTCTCAAATTCGTCAAGTTCATGGCGGCTGGTTCGAGAAAGAGCCTGGACCGGTACCCCCGCTACCGGTAGATTGACGCTGCCTCCTCTTGTAACAGGCCATGGAACTCTACACCTCCACCCAATCTCTCTCATCTACCGGTACCATAGCTTTTAGCCAGCAAGCCGACCATTACTGTTTGGGTGGTGGTTTTGGCTGCCCAGTGGTACTAGCTAGTAGCTGGCTGACTAGTAGCTAGCTGGTTCGAAGGTGCCACCACTAGCTACTCTGGTGTAATAGAGAAACGGTAGCCATGGCAAGAAACCTCGATCCAGTCTCAGTGGAAAGGGTTGACACCACGTCAGTGTTCCCGGCAACCATCGACACAACCCTTTCATCTGTCACCGTGGCACTAATTTTGCGCTTCATAGCTGCTACAACAGTCACGTAAGCACTTGTTCATTAAAACCTCTCAAAGGAATTCCTTAGATCTGATCGTGGACAAACCTCTTTCCTCGTTCTTGTCTCGCGGTGGTATCAACAAACGGAACGATCTTGTGACCGGCAAGCCAGTCCTTGATAGTTTGACCGCACTGATGGCTTGAAGACGAAACACTAGTGTGCGTGGGCGGTGCGTCACTGTGCCGCTATGATGTCATTTAAAAAAAAATGATCATAAAAACCAAAAATGGAATTCTGTAAAATACAAGAAACAATCGATTCCCTGTTTAGCCACTTCGTGTAGCAGCCTTGATATGGTAGAGACGTAGAGACTCAATTTTGGCTAAAATGGCGATAGGCTAAAGGGCAAAATTTGGCTTTAGCCGCAGCTTTCGGGAGGAGACAATGCCCTTTTAGTCAAAGATAGTACACTTTTACCTCATATATAAGATAACTATATTCTTAGTCCTGTACTGGAAGTATCTTACAGGATTCATCAACAGGCACACTGAGTCAAGTCATTATCTTATTATAGCCACTAGCAGCTTTTGTCACATACCCTAATACTAATCATGCCCGAAGACAGGGAGGAGCCACCAAGGAAGCCCAAAAAGGCAAAGGTGCAAAGCCAAAATTGATGAAACAAAGATGTAGAGGAGGCACCCCAAGATGGGGATATGGAGGACTTGGATGTAGACAGTGATGTGGAAGACAGTGGGCACTAGCTGCCCTGACTCCCCACTTACTAGTAGTATTAGCTTAGGATTTGAGATGTTGGTGCTGGTAGCTTATCTTACTGGTTTGGGAAAGACTTGAAATACTTAGACATTCTCGAGAATCACCAGAAACAATGATCAACACACGCAACGAAATCTACGGGCCTGCCGACACAATCCAAAGTTTCACAAGTACATATAATTTAGCCCAGCACTGATGAGTCTCACAGAGGAGATGAAAGAGTCATGCCAAAATCAAAAAGTAACCACAGAGGCCCAAGCCTGTGTTCTAGCGATTTGGCGGTTGGTGACATGTTTCAGTACAGTTTACTTAATCTAGCCACTCTTTGCTAAAATTGTATGAAATCTGAGTGTCTAGATTATCTGAATATTTCTGTAAATCTGAGTACTCCCTATTCCCTATCTTAAACCTATTATCTTAATTTTAAAGTATGATTGAGGAGAGTAACGTGTCGCGGAGATAAGACACGTCACGGATTATGCTGAAAAGGTATTTTGATTTTCATGTTTACCAATTTTTATGTTTACCAATTGGATTACTGTATTAAATTTTTGTTTTTGGTACAAGCGAGCTTTTTTCCTGAGACGGTATTTGACGTATCAGTAGTCTATTTTTTAAAAATATAATAGAGAACAAGTATGGTAAGTATGTACTGTACGGTACTGCAGTACCGGTACTGCACCGTAGCGCACAAGCCCTACTGTACTTAAACTATTAAGCGATGAAACAATCCATAATGCATGCGCATGCATGTTTATTGGCAGCCCCTACGGGGCTGCCAATCTAGGCTTCTGCTGCCTCATGGTTTTGGGTGCGGTGGTGCTATGCAGCTTGTGGTATGGTGGCAAATGCACTTTACTAAGGGCCCCACTTTTCCTTCGCGGCATAGCGGCCTCCGCCTCCGCCATTTGTCCGCCATCGGTGGAAGACGGGCGGGAATTGTCGGTGAAGACGGCAATGCGGGTGGGTGCCGCATTGGACGTTGAATGTTGGATTCGATGTTGATTGTGGTTGCGTTGAGGAGGATCGAAACGCTGGTTTTTTGGAATAAAATGGGAGTGTGTGTAGGGGGAGCGTCGGCGTGCGTAGTAGGACGCCGAGGAATTATGTAGTGGCGGTGTAGGTGCGTGGGGATTTAGGCGGTCGTGCCCGGCGCCAGGCGGTGCCTGGAGCTCACTCCCCGTCGGCAGCGTCGTCTTGAATCGGCACTGTTTCATCGGGAAGGAAGGTGTAGGTGCCGTTGTTAAACATGACGTTGGCGAAGTGTCGCATGATGGGTTGTGCCTGTAGATGGAGGTACCTCATCATGGAGTCGCTGTGCCATCAGCCGAGCATGCGGATGATGTCGCCGTCGATCTTGCCACAAAGGAGCGACATTGCTCCTCCAGCGCGAAGGGATTTCGCACTTAATTCTGTAGATGGAATGCCGGTACGGTGGTACAGGAGTGTTGCTGTTGTGCGAATGATATCCGTGACGTCCTTTGCTTTCACAGGTACGCGGCGTTGGTTGCGATAGTAGGAGGCGATCGGGGTGTCCCCTTTTGAGCGTGGCAAGTTGCCAGCTGTGCGCTGGGATCTGTGGTAAAGGATGAGACGGGTAGTTGCAGTCACGGGGCAGCAGAGTGGATGGCCACTGCGTCCGTGAGTGAGTATTTCGTTGGTGTGTCCGTTCTTTTGGGTAGTGAACGTGTAGGCCACCGTGGTGGCTGCTTCTATTTCCTCGAGGGGTGCTAGAAGTGGGTCCAGTCGTCGTTGTCCAAGGTATGGGGCGACGTCCTGGAGTGCAAACGGTGTGTCGTCGCTAGTGGTGCCTGTGTACTCGCCTGGTCGCAAGAGGAAGAAGAAGGCGATGGCGATGATGTTGGCAATGACACGCCGGTCATCTTGTTGATTGTTGTGGTACGCTTGTTGAAGGATGTGGAGCACTATCGTGATTGGGAGTGGCTTCACCCTTGCTGGTGGTTTGTCGCGTTTTTTGTAGGCTCGAATCTGTCGTTGGATTCGGAAGTCGATCTTACCAGTGGCATCGCGTCTGATGTCCGCGGACCCCAAGCGGGAGAACGTCTGCCCCACGGCTCTAAGTGCGTCCTCCACCGTTCTAGCCCGTACTGGTCGACCACTGGGAGCGACTCGGCCGTCTCTGTATCGTTGCCCAAACACTTGGAGGATGGGGACTGGATCGTAGATGGAGCGGAGGAACGGATCAATTCCTTGTTCCACGCAGAAGAGGTCCCACCGTTCCCAATGATGATCCATGGCTTTGGCACGTTTAGAAGTGACTCCGGCTCGGATCGCCTCTTGAACAAGGCGGAGATCAGACTGGAATGCATCGTGGTTCGAAGGGGACATAGTGTCCAAGAGGTCTCCTGTGGAAAATGAGTGTTAAAATGTGAGATGAGTTGTGAGTCTGTCCAGTGCCATGCCCTAGAGCATATGTCTGCCATTACATTGGCCCAGCCCGGTATGTAGTCGTGGAGCGGTAGATACCGATGGTGTCGCTGGTGTAGGGACTGCATTCGAAGTAGATAGGCAGCTGGTCCGGTTGTTGTTGTTGAGCCTTTTCGTTGCCAGAACACGGTAGGTGTGTTGTCATAGCAGTTGTGGATCGTGTGCTCTCGGACGTCACAAGCTTGAGCGAGCACATCCATGTGGGCTACCGAGCCTGCGAGCTCCAAGTCGCTGTTTGTGATGGGTCCTCGAGGATTTTCGAAGGAGGCCAGGCTTCGTTCGACCTTCTTGTTGAACTTGGCTCTCCAGAGTATTGGTTGTGTGCCGTTGGTTGTGGGGATGAAGTGGACGCCGCCCATCCCCTTTCCAGAGGCATCACAAGCTCCTCTGGTGGATGGTACGCTGTTGGGGACCACTTCGCCAAGTCTAGTGGGACGACTGTTGATGTCCTTGGCCAGCCATTTGAAGTCGGCTAGGAAATCGTGGACCTGTCTGGTGAGTCGCAGTCGGTGTCCCGACTCCTCCTGATGACGGAAGGCTTCCTGCAGCGTGCAGAACAGCCCTCTGGCACCCGGAATGGCAATTACCATCGACCGTAGTTCTCCTAGGACCTTATGCCATTGTCGCGTTGCTATCGGTCTTTGCGTAGGCTGGATGCCGTCCAGGATTTCCAGCAGCCGGTCCTTTCGGTGTTGTGGTAATTCCACTGTGTTGGTGATCGAGTTGATAATCCATCCGAGGATGGTCTTTCGAGTGGCCCAGCATGCGTCTCCCTTCTTTAGCTTCTTGACTGACGCTGGCTCTTGGCGGTGCTGGGTGTCATTTGGATCCAATCCGCGGAAGATTCGGTCCAGTGCGTGGAGAAGAATTCTCTTGGTTCTGCGGCGCTTCCATCGGTTCCCTTGTGTCAGACCGATGAAGTCATCCACGTAGACGTCCCAGTAGTGGACAGGTCGCTTCCCACGTGATGCCGTGTATGCCGCTGTAGTCGGCTGAGGGAGTGCCGTTGTTGGGCTGCACTGTTGTTGGGCATTGGTCGTGTTTTCTTTTTCGTCGTGTGGCGACTGGACGTCGTGTTCTGGTGGCGTTTCGGACACGGTTTCCAGTCGGTGTGGTTCCGGTTGGTGTGTGTTGTCGGCTATGTTGGCGTTGGCCATGTCGGCTACTGTCTCGGTTGCAGCGCTGAAGTTTGGTGGTGATTCCTTCCACCCCATGGGCAGGACTAGTGGGAAGGCGATCATCAGCTCTTCTCCATCTCTGGCTGGAAACAGCATTCCCAGCTTTGGGATGTCGTTGGCTTGTATCCAAACTCGATAGAAGCCATCGGCTATGTCTACCTTCGACATGTAGACAGGACCGTGTGCTGGATTCGCCTGGTGGACCTTGGTCATTATCCGGTGGAGAGCCTTTCCGAATTGCATGGCTTCCATCGGTGCTGTCTCCTCAGTCTCCTCGTTGACTCCAAAGAACGTGTAGTCGCATATCGTGCGAGGACGTCTCTCTCTTTGTGGTACGACGCCGAGAGGACTGAGCCGTAGGTCCGGCAATTGGTCCTTGATCATGTTGTAGGGCAAAAGCGTCCAGTGCCCTTTGTTGATCATTCCTATGAACTCTTCTCTCAGGAAGTCCGTGTGTTCCTTTGCCGATTTATGGGGACCACGCTTCAATGCTTCCTCTATGCGCTGTGAGCTCCAAGGGGCCGTGGCCATCGCGACTGGGGCCCCTTTCCTTCTAAATTCGTCCAGCAACTTTCCGGCTGGATGTGGTATGTCCGCCACGTCCTTGTGGAAGTCGCTCACGACGTCTCTAGATTCTGCCACAAAGGCTTCCCAGTTGTCCGCTCGTCTGAATCGCTCGGTTGCCGCTGCGACCAGGCGATCGAGTTCATCTGGGGCGTTGGCTGTGTGTTGTTGTTGTTGTTGTTGTTGTGTGGCTGCCTCGGGCTGCCGTTTCGGTTGGTTGTTGCTCCTCTCGTGTGAGTCGCTCCCATCGATTTGGGTGTTGTAATTCGGTGTCGCTTTCGTGGTGGTCCGCTCAGTTCGTGGTTGAGTCGGTTGCTTGGGCTCGGTTGCTTCGGCTGCTGTCTGGTCTGTCTCGTTTGACGTCTCTCGGGGTTGGATTGCCGTTCGTGTGGCAGTGTGGTGCTGAGTCGCACTGGTTCGGTCGTGTGGGGGATGAACCTGAAGTGACGTCGAAGTGGGCTGGACAGAGGGCGTAGACAGTGGCTGGGCTACTAGGGCTGACGGAGCAATCGCGATGGTTGACTCACCTAGTTGACTATTAGCAGTGGGCTCATTAACGTGATGACTTCTACTATGTTTCAAACTATGTGGGGCTACCCTTGGCGACACCTTCGGTGTCACAGGCTCGGCTAGTCGTTCACGATGTGAGGAACGATCTTGCCTGCCGGTGTCTCAGGCGTAAGCTCTGAGGCACCAATTGTGTAAGTTGTTGGTTTCTTCTTGGGTGTTCACGACATGGTCGCTGACCCGCTGGCATGTGTTGTAGCACCTGCCAGCAATGTGCCAGGACGCGCAACAGTCCACGAGGTTTCCTTCTCGTCGGACTTGAGGGGGGTTCTCACCGGCTAACGTAATGGCGTCACGCACGCGCCTCTCTCGGATGTTGTTCGCGAGTGGGGTGTTCCCCACGTAGCGGGGGTCGCGATTAGGATTGCGAATCAGCTGACGGGCGTTGTTGTTGCGGTCCTGTTGGCCTCCAGCGTTGTTGTTGTTGTTGTTGTTGTTGTTGTTGTTGTTGGCGGGAGGAGCGCGGTTGGCTCTGCCGCCGCCACCGCCAGTACCTTGGCCGCTGTTGCCTCCTCGTAGTCGAACTAGGGCAGGTATGTTGTCGATGGCTGGTGCCCAGCTCAGGTTGTTGCTCACCTCAAAGGCTTCCAGACCGGCCAGTAGGTTTGGGCCTGCAATGCTGGTTGTCGTCCGGACCGACATTTGCTTTATGAAGTAGGCACGATACGCAAGCTGGACGTGCAACACCATTACGGATGGGGCAAGTCTCGTGCCGTAGGTTCGATTGAAAGCAGCTTGCAATGGGGGTGCTACTCTTTCGTACTCCAGGAGGAACGTCTTGTAGGCTTCCACATTGGCGTGTGTGGATCCAAAGATCATTCCCAGAATTGGAGCGTAGCACTTGAGTTGCGAGGTGGCTTCCATCCAGTCCTGTGGGATGTAGCCATGCGGATTTTTCATTTGTCTAGCGTCCGTGGCAATGATGCTGTTGCTCACCGGATCTCCACTCATGTCATATTGGTCGGCTCTAGCGACGTCTTCGGCTAGTTGCTTCTGCCCTTCGTTGGACATGGCACCAGGAGGTGTGATCGTGAACGGCAGCAGACCCGTTCCGATGGAATGGAAGGCGTCTCCTTGTAGCTTCCAAGCTTTCAGTGCTATGGTCTGTTGGGGGGAGATCAGGCTCGAATTGAACCCCAATTGTCCCGCTACAGTGTCGGTCTCGTGCTGGAGGAGCATCCTTTCGGAGGTACCGGTCGTACGCCCTGCCAGTTCATGATAGATGGGGGGCAGCTCTTCGTCAGTTTGGGACCCGGTCAGTAGGAGGAGCCTGTCTGTGACTCGGTCCTTGAATCGCTCACGGACTTCCTTTGGACGGTTGGCTTCGGCCTTTCGTTTGTCTACGTCGTCCCGTGCTAGTCGCGATTCGGCTACCAGATCGTGAATACCTTGAGCCATTTGCTGAAGCGCTGGGTCTCCAGGTGCGTTGGCTACTGGAACTAGTCCGGTTAGCTGCCGATGGAGCACATTTTCGCGGCGGTGGTTGTGGACCTGTGGTGTTGGCTGTAGTGCGTTGACTCCTACGGTGTTGTGCATGACTCGCGAGTGAGTTGATTGTGGTGTGGCCTTTGTGGATGCCATCATGAGGAAGGTCAATAGCGATAGATAGTGAGTACGGTTGTTGGTGGCCAGAGCGTGGGCGTATATCACTTCGAAGGCCTTTCGTGCCGTGAACCTTTTTCCTAGTAATAGACTGACCAGTTCGAAAGGGATGAACATAGCCTTGCGGACGGTTACAGCTTGGGTCCCTGCGTCTGCGTCTGCGTAGGGACCCAGCAGGTCGGAGTTTGGATTGTCGTTTAAAGAGTCCATGTGCCTCTGGGGTGTGTCGGAGGTGATGGTCTGTGCTGTCAACTCTAGTTGGGATTCGAGGAAACCCACTGTCTGGATGTCCACTCCAAGTATCTCATCCACGTAACAGAAGGTTTGTCGTCTCTCTGGAGCTGCCGGTTCTCCTGGGGCGCCAGGGTGCTGGAGGAAACCATGCAGAACGTGTAGCCGTCCTCCTGGGGTGTTTCCATCTTGTATCATGACCGCCACTCCGCCAATTGGTGCAGCAAAGTCTAGGAGTATTTCTTGATGGAGCTCAGCAGGTGTGGAGGGGGCATTGGCGCCCCGCCAATGGAACATGATGCGGAGAGACCTCACTTGTGCCTCGTCGAAGGTGGGGCCAAGTGGGTTGAGTGTTGGGTCATCATAGAGGGACCTGTAGGTAATGGGCCCGGATGCGTTTTGGTCTGCCATGGTCGATTCCTATGACTCGGACCTATCCGAAGCTTTCCCTACAGGTGGTGAGCCCTATTGGGGCTGGGCAAGAGGACGATTGAGGTTGACTCAACCTATTCTTAGCCGATTAAACTCTCTATTGTGTAATGACTAGATTGTGAGGAGGTGTAGCCTCCTCTCTTGTTGAGTCTGTGCTAGGCTACGAGCCCATTCAAGAACATTCCACTCAGCGCGTCAGCCTAGAAGGGTGTGACAGAACTATTTTGTACACTTGTACATACGGTAGCCAAGGTGCTCGGTCCTCTAACCGGTGGTCACCTTTAACGCTACACCTCGGTGGTACATCGTACTTCTGAGTTCTGAGGCAGTATGTAGTATGCAGGCATTTACTATCCGTTGGGTTTGCACTGCTTGCAGCCGTGCTGGATATTTTATCTACTACATGTAGTGAAACTTGTAATGGAATGAGCAGATAGTTAGCTAGTTGTTACTTTTTGCACTTGGTTTTATGTGAGCAAGCGTCAACCATCCAGCATTAGCATCCTTTGATCACCACAAAATGCATGTTACAATGGCACGCATGAATTGGTCTTCCTTAAGATGCTTAGTGCTACAGCTGTTGGTGGTATCTTTCTCTTCCAAATATCCAACAACAGCGGCGTCCTCTGACTATACAAGCACATATGTTCGACAAAGACGTCGCCTGAACCCTAATAACAATACAACCGCTTGTCCCGTTGTAGACCCTAATACGTTCAGCATCAGCCAAGAACTGGCGCAACAATTCAAGGTGGCCGCCGAGTTAAGCATACTGGTGAGGTCGAGATATCGGGGTGCATCGATACCCAGATCCCTGGCGGAAAGGAACGCTACGAACGCTTCGATGGATGGTGGACACTCTCGGACCAAGCCGTGGTGGCCAAGGACAATGGTGTCTGCTACGCCGTTTACATGGGCACCGATCCCTGCAATCTATTCGACCAGTTCCAGAACATTTGGCCCTTCAGCACCTGCGTCCCCAACAGCGACTGCGCGGTCCGATCGGGATACTACAACGCCTACTACAACAGCTACTACAAAAAAATGAGACACGCCGTCACGAGTTGCGTCGAATCCTGTGGTGCGGGAGTCCAGTGTCCCCTGATCCTGCACGGCCACAGCCAAGGCGGAAGCATCGCCACCATTGCCTCGATCGATCTGCGAGAATACAATCCCATCACCATGACCTTTGGCACGCCCCGAGCCATCCTCAAGAGCGATGCTTGCACTCCCTGTAACATCTTGGACACTTCCCGTCACTACCGGTTCATCAACACCATCGACGGTCGCTATGACGAGCGAGTCATGAACAACCTGTTTTGCAACTACCGGCAGGTGGGAAACGCCATTCTATTGGACAACGACAACTCACCCACCATTGCCACGGTCGGCCTGGACAACGACCTGATCCGCAGTCCAACCGACGTGGGGATCCACGACCAACTCATCTACACGGAGCGCATCAACGCCATCGCCGATCCGGGCTGCTTCCCCATTCCCCTCACCAACTGGCCCGCGGGACACTGGTGCAGCGAAGGTGACGAGTGCGCGAGCGGGAACTGTCAAGACCGTCTGGTTTGTGTGTAACCTAGAACTAGAACTAGTTAGTCACTTGCACTAGCTAGCTAGCTAGCTAGATGATCGTCGTCGAAGTCATCGTGGATGGAGTGGAAGTTAGTGGTGCGTGTGGTGGCACATATCTTGGATTCATCCTTTTAGAAGAGTAGCTTCGTGGCACAAAAGGGTCTTGTACCGTACCGGTACGGCGGTACGGTGGTGGTACCAGGTATCAACAAAGCAGGATCCTGTGACCGTACCGTATACGGTGCGTCAAGCCAGTCATTGATAATTTGACCGCACTGATGGCTTGAGGGCGAAACGGTCAGTTTCGTCAGTGCGAATGATTCATGATCATCATTCTTCAATCAATTCATTATCCCACCAAAGAGGAAATGGCTCTACTCGACGAGGACTACCATGAACCTATATGGCTGCGTGGTGTAAGAGATCTCTCTGGAGTTCTGGAAGGTGCCATCCAGTCAAACAGGATAATTGATAATGCAGAGGTCAGTGTCGACGAATCGTTTTCGGATGCAGACACCCAAGAGTTAGCTCTTCGCTTTGTGGAACGGCTTGGTGGCCTCAACGGTCTCAAGTCATTGCGTCTACTCCCAGACAAGGTCCATATTATATACGAAGTCCCAGTCAGGTTGTTGACGATTGCTCTACAACGGGCACGAGAGCTGCAAATGTTCTCGATATGTGCGGTGGATTTGGTTGGCAACCAAGATGAATTTGTAGAGTTCATGGAGTCCATGCGCAATCATGCTTCTCTGCACCTGGTACGCCTGATTCGTTGTCGGCTTCCCAACACGTCTCCGCCAATGTTGGCAGACTTTGTTGCTCATGTTTCGGCGATACCAAACCTGAAGGAAGTTGAGCTTTGTGGAGCTGAAGAGTCCTCCCTGGGAATCATGTCCAATGAAGCGCTCATCTCAATATCCGGGGCCGCACTACTGGAGAAATTCTGCTTGGACAATTTTGAGCTGACACAGGATCATTTCATGATCTTGTTGCAGTGGCTAGAACGAAGGAACAATAGGCTCAGGGGGGTATCCGTCTCAGCCTGTGAGATCAACTCGGAAGGTCTGCATTCTTTGGCCAGAATGTTGAGGGGCAATCAAACTCTGGAAGAGTTGTCTATCTGCTTGAGTCATAGTCGAAACCAAACCCTTACAGATGAATGTTTCATGGCCATATCTCAAAGTCTGGAAAGAAACACATCTCTGAGGCAATTTGGGGTTTCGGGAAGCAACGGATGGCCCAAACTAAGCAACAACGTGCAAAAGTGTTTTCTCAACATGCTGCGCCATTGGAACTACACACTGGAACGATTGTCGCTCTTTGACAGAGCCGATTTGCAACCAGATGTTAACTTCTTTCTAGCCACAAATCGGTTGGGTCGCAAGTTTTTAGTCCACGAGAATTGCACCAAGGAGGAGTGGCTGCAAGCAATCATCCGATCGACTTGTGATCTCAGTTGCCTCTACTTCTTCCTTTCAATGAAACCTGAACTGTTGGTGGATCAAACAAAGAGATAACTGGATGGTTTCGAGGCTGTCAAGAATGTAGAATAGGGCCTAATTCTGGGTCCAACGAAGGCAAAATCACTCATCGAGACTGAAATCACGTTATTGGAGCATGCAATGATGGATGGACATGGAGGCTTGCCGGAATCAATCCGAAGAAACAAGCGGGAGGGCATGCTGGGGTGTTGGACATGACATGACGCGACTCTTCACTGATGGCGGATGTGGCACTCGTCATCCGAGCCTGCTCCACAAGATCGGGGTGAGCCACCGACACCTGCCGATTGTTGCGACGCGCACGACTCTGCCTTGGCACTGGTGCTGCCGGTATCACCAAGACTCTTGTCGGACTGTCCCAACTTCACCCCAGTTCGGTCCCAATGGAATCTCTTTCCAAAGTCAACATTTGGTGCACTTTGAATACGCAGCCATATGCTTCTTCTTCTTCTTGATTTCATCTTCACTTTCCAAGGGTGTTACAAGCAGTTTGCCCAGACCAGCATCCCAATTTACAGAATTGGCTTTGCTCGAATCTTCCTTGACTGAATTCAAATCACCACTACTAGTTTTCTTCCCGCCCAAAGGCCTCTGAGGCTATGGACTTGACCTGCACCTGGCAGACCGAGTGGACTCCGACGAAATGTCGCGGTCTCTCCTGGCTGTCGTGTTGAAAGCAGTCGGTGCTGTCGGCTTCACAATTGAGCCTGTGTTGCTTTCCAGATCCCCATGGCTTTGACTGTAGGGGGTTAAACATAGCTGGGGCGAAGTTGCAAGGCAGCAACGAACCGAGGAATTTTCTCGCATTTCTTTGCCTTATCCTGTGTGTGTGTGTGTGTTCGTGTGTGTGTTTCGTATTGTTTGCCTCTTCCTGTCTGCTTTCTACATGTTATGAGCATTGAAGAGACTCGCCGATTCTGGAGCAAAGCTCGTCTAGACCAATGCCTTGTACAAATAAATACCGATTCTGGGTCACAGCTTTGTCTAGACCAATGCCTTGTACTAAATAAAGTAATTTGTGCTAGGACGTAACTATGTATTACTATAATCGAGTAAGGCCCATGGAGGCGACGAATTCATCTCGCACTGACCGCCGAACCGTCATTACGGCAGCTTGTTGAGAGTGAATTGATGACAATTCTTCTACTGTTAGCTGTCGACGGCTCGCCACAATCCTGGCACACGCAGAAGCAAATTGCTATTGGATATCAAGGTAAAAATAGACTTTTGAGTGTAGGAAAACGTGAGGAACTCACAGCAATGAAGGCAAGACGACCTACCATTCCCTCCAAGTAGTTCATGTACATGGCATCGTTCGACCACTCGGACTCTAGAAACTTGCGATATGTTTGTACTGCAGCAGTCTTGACCTTCTTTGTTTCTGGTACCTCCTCCAGCTTTTTCTGAAATTGGATCATGCGAGACTCTAGATTTGGGGTCCCCACAAAGAGTTGCATGTCGAACCGTCCTCGTCTTGTAATGGCGGCATCAAAGGCTCGCAATCGATTGGTAGCTATGAAAAATATAGATTGTTTGGCTCTCCGTAAATCGTTTATAGCCGTCAGCATCGCTGATGAAAAAGGTGCAGTAAGTTACAATACTGCAGAAAGAGACACCACCTAAAAGGAACGTACCTGTCGTCAGCATACGAGACTCCATCGAGAGACCTGGAGTTTCGCGATCCAAGGCGAATTCTTCTATCTCATCAAACAAAATCACACACTGGTTCAAAGCCATTAGGCGTCGAAAGACATATCGTATTCTTGCAGCCACGTTGGAAAGGCCATCTGCCAGGAATGCGCTGGTATCAATGACGCAAAAGTCAAATCCCATCCGCTGTGCCAGTGCTTCACAAATAGTCGTTTTGGCAGTTCCTGGTGGACCAAAGAGTACAGCGCTATACGCTGCACCATAAGATGGATTATCCATGGAAGAAGCAAAGGGAGTTATGACCCTTTCCTTCAGAACGGACTTGATGGTTCGGGGTTTCCCTCTTTCTGTCAGGATACCAAGATCGCTGTCCAATAGACGATCCCATCCTTTGGGTTGAATCCCAAGTTCGGAAAAGCGTATACCGTGAAACTCGTCAATCACATCATTATGAATCAATTGTCGAATTGTCGTCCGCATCCATGCGGCACATTTTAACACTTGTGCGGTTGGCCATGCCTGTGGTGACGAGTCGGGACTATGTGGTGATGACCATCCTCGTAGAGGTCGCCCATAGCATTGCCCCGAGACAGGGTCACAATAGGAAGTAATGACTTCCACCATTTGATGATTCTCAATCCATGATAGAGTGCGCTCCAGTGCGCCTAAATGTGGACGAAAATCTTCCGGTGATAGCAGACACAGTAAGGATCCGACTGTGTTTACGGAGAAGACAAAGGCATTTCCCATATTGCGTCCTTGGCGTCGAAAGGACGAGTAAATTGGCTGGCCCTTGTCCCAGAGCCCGTCGCTGTTTTGCTCATCAAAGAATGCACCCAACGCTGCCTTGACGAGTCGATCATTAAGTTGTACCACCTTGGTATCTGCTGATGGGCCTCTGCCTGGTTCCAATTCTCGTCCAGATATGCCAGTCCCCGTGAGACTGGTGGTGCTTCGCACATACGTCAATAGACTGTAGGCAAGACGAACCACATCGAAGGAATTTCGGTCCCCAGCAGTGCGATAGGCTAATTGTCGACATAATTCGTTGCAGCTCATTTCGGCACAATCCATGAGTGCGCGCAAGATTTCGGAGGACAATTCATCTGGCAGCATACAGAGCGGCAGTCCTCCTACTCCCACCTCCAAATCAATCTTCTTTTGTTTTTTGTTGTTGCCAGGAAAGGATATTTTTGTCGTTTCTTGTAGCAGAGCAAGCACTTTGCAGACTTGGTAGCTAATGTAATCCGAATGAACCTGACGGGTACCCAGCCGGGGGTCTGGTGCTGCCTTTAAGACGGCCGTGATTGATTTCTTAATTTTCAGTGCCTTGTTCGGATCGGCAGCCACCTCAGCAATTAACAGGGATCGATCCGTATCCACCCTCAAGAGTGTGTACAGCAACAATGGCACCTGAAACAAATCATCCTGTCGCCAGGGAGATTGCAGCATGGTTTGAAAAATATCAGCAATGGGAATATTGGTCGATTCGTACACATCCGCACTCAAAATGAGTGTTAGCAGTGCATAACAAGAACTGGTGATACAGGTTTGTTGTTGTTGTTGCTGGGGATTATCATTCTCGCCCTCTCGACCGACCTCAGGCTTGACGGAGAAACTCTTGAGCTCGGGTTCATAAAATCCCAGCATAGTTTCCGGGGCCACGCTTTGGATATTATTCAGACGAGTCACCAATTTTGTCATGGCCTCAAAATCGTAGCTGCTGGCGACCAAATCCAGTATTAGGCAAGATAATAGTAGTTTTACACTACTAGTACCTGGGCCAAACATCGTCGCTATTAGTCACCCACCTTGAGGTGTGGAGTATGAAGCGAAGGTTGACGCATATTTTGATACTACTATGGTACCTGGTACCATCTGTCGCCGATCGAGGTCTCGTTTGATGGAGGTCTTCGTTTGTGGACGAGTTGCGAGATCGAAAAAAAGAGCACTGATGTCACTGAACCTGATCCCTAATAACGACATAACATACAGAACCACCCATGCCCTGCCCGCCTAGCTAGCTTATACCACCTACTGGTACTTCTTTTAAAATCCCGGTGGCAGGTGGTGTGGGGAAAGCAAGAGACGATTCGGATTCTTCAACTCATTCATTATTCAGAGCTTCATCCATCAGACCTTTAGAGGAAATGGATCTACTCGACGAGGACTACCATGAACCTTTATGGCTGTGTGGTGTGAGAGATTTCTCTGGAGTTCTGGAAGGTGCCATCCAGTCAAACAGGATAATTGATAATGCAGAGGTCAGTGTCGACGACTCGTTTTCGGATGCGGACACCCAAGAATTATCTCTTTGCTTTGTGGAACGGCTTGGTGGCCTCAATGGTCTCAAGTCATTGCGTCTACTCCCAGACAAGGTCCATATTATATATGAAGTCCCAGTCAGGTTGTTGACGATTGCTCTACAACGGGCACGAGGGCTGCAAATGTTCTCGATATGTGCGGTGGATTTGGTTGGCAACCGAGACGAATTTGTAGAGTTCATGGAGTCCTTGCGCAATCATGCTTCTCTGCACCTCATACGCCTGATTCGTTGTCGGCTTCCGGAAATGTCTCCGCCAATGTTGGCAGACTTTGTTGCTCATGTTTCGGCGATACCAAACCTGAAGGAAGTTGAGCTTTGTGGAGCAGAAGAGTCCTCCCTGGGAATCATGTCCAATGAAGCGCTCACGTCAATATCCGGGGCCGCACTACTGGAGAAATTCTGCTTGGACAATTTTGAGCTGACACAGGATCATTTCATGATCTTGTTGCAGTGGCTAGAACGAAGGAACAATAGGCTCAGGGGGGTATCCGTCTCAGCCTGTGAGATCAACTCGGGAGGTCTGCATTATTTGGCCAGAATGTTGAGGGGCAATCGAACTCTGGAAGAGTTGTCTATCTGCTTGAGTCATAGTCGTCAAAACCAAACCCTTACAGATGAATGTTTCATGGCCATATCTCAAAGTCTGGAAAGAAACACATCTCTGAGGCAATTTGGGGTTTCGGGAAGCAATGGATGGCCCACACTAAACAACAACGTGCAAAAGTGTTTTCTCAACATGCTGCGTCATTGGAACTACACACTGGAACGATTGTCGCTCTTTGACAGAGCCGATTTGCAACCAGATGTTAACTTCTTTCTAGCCACAAATCGGTTGGGTCGCAAGTTTTTAGTCGACGAGAATTGCACCAAGGAGGAGTGGCTGCAAGCAATCATCCGATCGACTTGTGATCTCAATTGCCTCTACTTCTTCCTTTCAATGAAACCTGAACTGTTGGTGGATCAAACACAGATTTAAACTTCCCTTTTAGAGTCTTTTCCATCCAGACTGGGTTGGTTCGCGTGAAGGGGCTGGAGCTGGACGCGACTTCAGGGGCTGCACTGGTGATGATGCCTGGGCCAGGTACGGACCAGGAGTGGGCCTGGTGCATGCAGCAAGGGTAACAGTACGGGCAGTCAAACAAGAATTTCTTTTTTGTCAACACCATCAAAAACCACGGCAACATGGCGAAGAGGCAAACAGAGGCAAAGCGTGGACGAATTTTGTGATGAGGGACTGAAACTACTGAATGCAAACGGCGATTTCAAGTTTTCAGGGGAAGCAAGTTCATCCCGGGAAATCGCTGCATAATCAATCAGGCCCGCAAGTTTCTTTCTGGCCACAATAGGTTGGCCCGTACCTGGTAGGGTCGACTTCGAATCATCATGAGGTTGTCTGTACCGGTAGCCCTGTACCGGTATCGGGTCTCTCGTGCTGACGTCTCATTGACTCAACCATTGTCGAGATTTCTATCCTCCGGGAAGCCAACAGGGGATTCCAAGGGCGGCCCGGACCAAAGCACAGTTGAAGGATTTCTGGCAGACTTGGAGAGTGACAATCTGTATGAAATGAGCGCCAATTCAATTTCTATTGACAGCCTGGCCATGTGGCTTGGAAAGGGCAAGCTCAACCTTACCCCAGACTACCAGCGCAAACATGTTTGGGAACCGAGCAGATCTTCTCGGCTTGTTGTGACTGTGCTGTGCCGTCGTATTGTTCCAGCTGTGACCGTTTGGCAAGATAAAAAAGGGCGTTTGGATGTTATTGATGGGAAGCAACGACTGGCATCATTGCTAGGGTTCTTCCTTGCTGGAGATAACCCAGAGCACCACAAAAAATTGACGGACACTGGCAAGTTACCCACCGATTTCACGACACTCTCCCAACTCGATGAAAAATATGATACCCTGAACGGATTGACTTTCGAGGCACTCAGTGAGGAACGGCAAATAGCATTTTCGTCCTTCACCATCCCAGTTACGACAATCCCAAATAGAGCACCACAGAACCATGTTCATTCATGCTTCTTAGACATCAACTCGGGAGGACTTGATTTGACGTACCAACAAGGCCGCCGAGTGGCTTACTGGAGTCCTTACATCCGTTTACTTGATAAGCTTGCAAAGAACGAGGACTTTCAGCGCATTCGGGACCCTGAAGCCTTCGACAAGGGGGGGTACGTCCCTTGCGACAAAGAGAGTGATTGTGAGCTAATCTTGCGGGCTTTTGCTTGGGAACGATTTGGCAAAAACTACAAGAAGCCCATGGTCGACTTTATCAATCGGGAGCTGGAGCATTTTGGCAACTTGAACAATGAAGCTGCACAGAAAGCGATCCTCACCAGCCGCATGGCCGAGTTTGAGCTGGTCATGAAAATCTGGGCAAATGTGTTCTCCGAGAATAATGGCGCATTTCGGGCTTGGAAGAATGGACGTTGGGCCAAGGATATTACACTTCCACTGTGGGATTTGATGTATGCTGTGCTTGTGGAACTCACGCGAAAGTACCCAAAGGCGCACATGTACACCAAGTGCAAGAAAGAGTTGCAAGCTGCCACCAAGTCTTTGTTCACAAAGTATGACATTGCCAGAGAACTCTCGTACCGAAGCGCAAAAAAATTTCTGAAGCAAAAGGCTCTTGTAGACGGTGTCCTGTCAGAGGTTTTGAGTAAAGCCAATCCTGAAAATGGGCCTAGGCGCTTTGCTGGTGATCTTGACTTGCGGCGGCAACAACTGTATGATAAGCAGGAGGGGAACTGCAACATTTGCAATCAGACTCTCGACGTGAAACGCATTCACGATGGGTCGTACGCTCATCTTGACCACAAAATACCTTACTCCAAAGGTGGACCGACGGAGGAAGACAATGCTGCGCTGGTTCATACTGAATGCAACCTACACAAGGGTGCCAAAACCGAGTGAGTGAACGAGGAAACTCTAGCTAGGCTTGCCTTGATTATAAAAAGTGATAGTACTACCAGGTAATAGTTCAATTGAGTTCTTGCAGTTCGCGGTCTACGATTTAGCACTGACAAACTTGTTTGTTTCCTCGGCAGCCGTACTCGTACCAGGTCCTGCCTGAGCTCTCATTTCCTTCACCGTACTTCGGCAGTCTTGCGACAGCGTGCGAACAGATACTGGTACGGTCGAGGCTGGGGGCTCACGGATTGTGTATTGCAGTGACAAGTCTATGCACAGCTGGAATCTACTGTAGCACGACTAGACATGCAGGATCTAAATAGTTGACCTTTACAATGTTGGCCAGTGCCAGTAAAGATACATGTGGGTCGAACGACAGAATTGACGAAAATAGAAGCCATAATCGAGACGCTCAAATCAGATTCCAAGTGATCGAGTGTATCAAAAGGTTCGTAGACACTCTTGCCAATATCGGCACGGTACCGGTACGTCACAAGATATCGTCGAACACGAAGGTGAGGCACCGTCATGAAAACACACAATATTATCTTATTCAATTTGCTGCTACGAATAATTCCAATTTTAGATTGCGTCAGGTGAGAAAACGTCAAATGCTGCATCGACAAGAGTGGTCCTTCCCGTGAGCCTTGTACAATGCAATCGTACCTGAGTTTCGTCGTCCATGCTGGCACCAATATTCGTGTTGCTTGTTTGTTTCGTGTTGCTTTCTGCATTTAACCATTTCTACGCCGATCCACTGGCCGTGTTGCCTTGTTGGTTTTCCGCATCCCCCGCACCCGTACTCAATACCTGTTCGACGACGGTATTGAAGGAATTGCAGCGAGGACACTGGATTCCCAGAAAATGCCAATTCTGGCTGTGACTCTTGGTTTCGCAATCATTGCACATGATATCGACGACGCGTTGCAGATCGGGTGGCATGGGATGTTCGGCAATGTCTCGTGCACGTGCTTCCCATGCGGCCGCCATGGACTGTTGGGAAACAACCGTCTTTTTGCAAATGGGGCATCGGTAGTCAAACCCGGCGAGCTTTCGAAAGCAATGGGCATGAATGGCATGTCCACAGGGTAAATCTTGTGGTGACTGTCTCGAGGAGAACATGTCTTCCCGACAGACGGGACAATTGTTCTTGTACTTGTCGCGGAGGCACTGGTGTGTGTCAAAGACCGTGACGGAGATGCACATGCAGCATTCGTTGCAGTGACGAAAGGCTTCCACGCCACCGACGCGGCAAAATCCACAGCGATTGCAATGGAAGGGTTTTTTGCTCTATCAATCAAATACATGCATAATAATCAGGACAAAAATGGAACATTTTCAATGAGTTTTTCCCCCCAATATTCAGCAACAGCAATACACAGAACATGTAGCGCGTTTCCAAACGTACAAGAGACATCCAGAGGTTACACATTCCACAATGATATTCCCCAAACTGAGCGTTGCAATTCATGCAGGTGTTTCTTTATTGATAGAAACAAGGGTAAAAACACAAAGTGTCAGGACATAAATCGGCTCAAAAATATCCAATCAATTGCAATAAAGACAACCAAGACGAGACGTACCCTGCAGCCTGACGAGTATTGCATAACTTGCAGACCACCTCTCGGACCAAGAATCGATTCATGGGCGGATGTCCGGCTGGACTGAGTTCGTCATGGCATATACGACACCCCACCACACGGTTGCAGCACGGCGCGACAATGTTACAATTGCGTTCGTAATGGACACACGCGGCATTTCCTTCGGGTGCCGGAATGACAGGAGCGGGAGGCGGCGCCACGGCCGTTCGTCCTCCGCTCATGAGCGACTGAATGCGATGACGCTTCTCCTCTTCACTGAGGGTCGTATCGCGCATGATTTCTTGAATGGCACGACGACGAGCGACTGCGGCGTCTTCTTCGGCAGCTGGAGGTGGTGGTGCTTGAGCGGCATTCGCATCGTCATCGTCGTCGTTCATGTCGTCTTCTTCATCGTCCAATTCTTCTTCGTCGTCCAGCTCGTCGCTGTCCGCCATTTCCATGTCTTCGTGCATGTCGTCGCTCATCTTGTCTCTTGTATTACTAGCTAGTAGTAGTCTAAGTAGTAGTGTGCGTTGCTTGCTAGCTAGCTCTGTAATAGGACAACAATGGGATTGCACTAGTCTATTCAAACGATCGATTGAGGATGTGGTTGCTGCGGAGAGAGGGCTGCGGAGAGAGAGGAAAGCAATTTCTATTGGATATGACCTCTTCAAGCCGGAAATAAAGGAAGCAAGGAGGCAACTACAGCCAAAATAGGCATTGCAGCAGGCATCGGTGTGTGTGTGTGTTGGTTGGAATGAGAAGGTGTTGTCACTCGAGCGCTAAACTCTGATTCATTGATTTCAAAGCAGGAGTGACATTAAAGATTTAGGGTTTCTTGCCCTAAGCTCTATCCCTACCGTAGATTTGGTCGACTGGATGAGAATGGAAGGCGTCATCGCCGACCATCAACCTCTCCGCTTTCTCGCTTCCGGGGGAGCATGTTTGTGACAGTCAAAGATGGCACGAGGGCATTATTATTGTTGGAACAGATCTTTCTCACTGGATTGCCAGGTGCCAGAGTACAACAACTGGTACCTTCCTGCTTTGGATCTGTTGTTGCCATTGGAACAGAAACTCTAGTAGCTAGCTAGTAATAGCTGCCACAGTGTACCTTCTTCCTTTGGATCTGTTGTTGTTGCCATGTGTTCACCCTCCATGCCTCCTGTCAAAGCCGATCGGCAATGGGTGCTGCCATCCGATCGAGCCCAAACGACAGCGTTGGTCTGCCGGTGTCTCTTGATGGTCTGTATAGCCGTGGGAGGATCGCTCCATCTCCAGGCAAAACAAGAACCAGACGACAGGACACCAGAACAAATAGAAGACGACGAAACCCTCTGGCGCTATACCGTAGCGATGACCACCTTTCTTCTCGCCATTCTCTATGGATCCCAAGGACCCCGATGGTCCTTCTTTTATCGGATATTCGGAATGGGACGGCCTCCACGACACTATTACCGCAAAACCTACATCAAACGGGGCTACGAACCCGTCGCCCAAGCGTTTGCGTCAACGCTGGCCGAAGGACGTGAAACGGGCATGCAATTCGCTGCGTATGTCCAGGGCGAACTCGTTGTCGATTTGGTCGGCAGTATGGTCGAACGACAGGGACGCGATTATACCGTCAATTATGATACCGTAGGACATTTACTCTACGATTCCGATACCTACTCGACCATTTGGTCGTCCAGCAAGGTCATTACCAGCATTCTCATGGCGTGGTTGGTCGATCAAGGCCACCTCGATTATCAAGCCAAGATTGTCGAGTATTGGCCCGAATTCACCGGGGGTGGCAAGGAACATGTCACTGTGGAACAATTGCTCAAACACAATGCCGGACTGGCAATTGCACCACCCTTTGTCATGGAACTGGAACATTTGTTCCCCGAAAACTTACCCAATGGCAATGCCTCACAAGTATTGGAGAGCATGACGTGTTGGAAACCACCCCAATGGACCAAATGGTTGTCGTATCATGGCATTACCCGAGGATGGATCTTGAATGAAATTGCTCGACGAGTGGATCCCCAAAAGAGAACGTTGGGTGTCATACTAAGAGAAGAGTTTACGGAAAAATTGAACATTAGCTCCGAATGCTACCTGGGATTGCCCGAAAAGTTGAACGACCCCGATCGAAACCCCAAGTTACGCTTGATGGATCCCTGTCCTCCGTATCTGTGGGTCATTTGCAACAAACTGTGTCAACTCTTACGGATACCGTCGACCGTCCAATGGAGATTCTATCTCATTCACACGGCATGTGTCACGTACGCGAAACTCCACTGGATGCCGGCGACGGATTTTGTCAATCCAAAATTCATTGGGGGATACCAGATGACGTCGGATCCAGACTTTCGAAGAGGAGAAACACCCTCGGCCAACGTGCAAGCCACGGCACGGGCGGTGGCTACCATTGCCAATGCCATGGCCACTCGAAATCCAAACATTTTCAAAGCGGGAAACGAAACAACAACCAAGGCGGGCCTCAATGAAGAATCGCGACATTTAATGCCCATGATTCTGGATATTGACCACTGGGCCAAGGCGACCTTTAACGATGGTGGTTTTTGTGTATTGGCACCACCTGCCCCCGACAATCCCGACAAATTGGTCAAGACGCACATTCCATCTCTACCGGGGTTCTCCTATGCATGGGGATGGTTTGGGTTTAATGGTAGTCTGACGGCCTTTCATCCCGAGGGAGATTTTGCCGTGGTCTTTCAACCCACAGCCTTTAACGATTTGGATCCGACAGCGCGTGTCGAGAAAATGACACGGGCGTTGCGGGAATGTGGACGTCGATTGCATGGTGATGATTGGGGGGAATACCATGACGCGAGTGTTCCAATGTACTAGTAATACGGCAGGAACCGTAAGGACTCTACATCACCGTGGGAGCTGAAATGGAAGAGGTCGTGCTTGACTTGTTTTGGAACCGCATAGAATCAAGGCGCACGTGGAATTTGGACTCAATGCTATTGAAACTGCAGCCCTCGCAAGGGCTGCTATGGTAAATTTTGCTTGAGTTATAAGGCTTATTTCTCTAGAATAGAATTCAATCCGATAAGGAATGTTGTTTGGGTTTCAGGGTTGCGGCAGCTCCTTTGACTTGACTTGGTCACGGGCAGACTAGCAAAGGGTTCCTGTTTTTGGTAGCTACGGTGCAGTCTAGCTAGTTGTCATCACCTGGGCGTTTCACAACAGGAAACATCTTCTTGGTGAGCCGAATCTCTTGCCGACTGGGGTACTCGGCGATGTTCTTCTTGACTAGTGAAGCCATCACATTTCGCCAGGTACTTTTCTTCGGGTCAATCTTCAGCTCCTTGGCCACGTCGTCCTGTGAAGGATAGAAAGGAACCGGTAAAGAGTGAGTCCGTGTCCATGTTTTTGAGTATGAGGAGAGCCACAAACAGGCGAATACACTGACCTTTTTGTGCGTGAGCCCATCAATCAAGGCATTGAAGAGTTTGACCTCTGTCCCTTTCAGCCCTGAACGGATTTTATCGTGATGCTCGTCGTTCGAAGTGGGCTTCTTGAATTGATCCATCACTGCTCGGTCAGCGTTGAGCATGCCTTTGTCAGTTATGATTACCTTGGTCTTGCCTTCGTATGTGACCCAGCCCAATTTCTTGAGCGCGGCAAATCCATTGCGTTTGGTCGAGTCACCCTTGACCTGGGCCATGGCTGCAACTTCGTTCTTCTCGGCTTCGTCTTGATCGTAGTTGGCCTTGAGAGCCGCGCAGCAGTTGAGGAGTGCCATGGCGGTCTTCGGGGGCATGGCAGTTTTGGAGGGCATGATGGAAGTGCCCGATTTTCGTGAACGATTGCTTGCAAGACGAGATGCTTTTTGTGAGACTGACGAAGGAATGATTTGGTGCATTGCTTTTGTTCGATCAGACCCAGCGGAGACGACCACGCTGTCAGAACAAACGCAAAACTGACAAGTGTTCCTACGACGAAACTAGTACCGCAACGCACAAACCAGCCCAGACGGGCACCAAGAGAGGGAAAACGGACCCTTTCAACCTCGTTATCTGCAACTTTTGATCCCGTCAACAAAGTATTGGATGCACGCGAGAATCACAACGAAGAAACGGACGAGCGAAGGAATTGAAGCCTTCTTTTTGCCTGAACGGACCGAGCAGAGGTGACCACGCTAATAGATCAAAATTGATGGGAGTTAGTTGACACCACGATGCCGGTACCAGTACGCACCGGTACGGTACCGGTACTGTACCGGTGGTACACCACGACACCGGCACGAAGTACCGGAACCAGTACAGTACCTTCATGGAGGGGCGAAACCAACTAGTGCCTTGGCGCCCTTGAATATCAGATTAAACTTGGATGGGACATTTGGCTTGACAATAGAACTTGAATTGTGGGGTTGATGACAAAGACAAGCGCAGAAGGAGACTAATGCAGCATCAGAGCCCATTTTTGGCACTGCCGAAGCATTGTGGAAACCAGATCTTGGGGAGGATGGGTCGGTGGAAGTTTGCACCAGTGCATTTTGAGTGCACTAGAACCAGACTGTTTGAGTGGCAATGCGCCTTTTGGTCTACCTGATCCATCGGGATGGCATCAACGAATACGACTTAGCCCTCGAAATGACTAATAAGGAACGATCAAAAGGTATTGGTAATCGTCTCTCGAATACCACAAGCAACCAAAAGGACGCTGGAGACAAAAGCAAGGCGACAAAAAGATGCAAAGAAGACCAATTTATGTTCTCATTTCCGTGGGCAAATTGTTGTTTATTTCCTTACACCAAACCAGATCGCCAACAACTCTTCGGTGATTCAAAGTGCTGTAGATTGGATATCTGATATTGTCAAATAAAGGACAACCCTCTTCTCTTGCCCACCACTCCCAAAACGACATATACCTTCTCTATTGTCTTTTTGTTTACTTGTGCTTTTCAAGGATTGCCTTCAAGCCAGGTTCGCTGGCTCCCTTCATTTCGTCCACCATGGCTCCATCTTTGAAGACTTGGAATGTTGGCATGGCTTGGATCCCACACTTGGCGGCTACCTCCTCAGCGTCATCGACATCCACCTTGAAGAATTCAATGCTTGTGTACTCTTTTGCGAGTCCCTCAAAAATGGGGCCTGACGACAACAAAAAGAAGGATAATGGTGAGGATCCTTTTCTTGCAGCTCCCTATATTCCCACGCCTAGTCAGGCTCGACTCACCGATCATTTTACAAGGAGGGCACCTGTATTTGGGAAGAAAGGGGAAGGAATAGCAGAGCAAAAGATGTTCAGTCGAGTGACTCAGTCGTTCATATAGACAGGGTATCAGCAAAACCATCAGCACAGAGATGAACCAGCAACCAAAGCCCGAGCCCAATGCACGGACTCTTCGGGGCCGTTTCTTGGGCTTGACCACTCGGGCTGGAATTCACGATCTATTTTATTCCGGCCGTTGGATCACGCGATTAGATTTGGACGTTGTCACTCACCATGTGGCTGTAAAGTCGATGATCACTGCCTTCGACTTGGAGGTCTCCAACATTGTGTTGAACTCGTCCATGGATGTGATATAGTTCACCATTTTGATCTCTGTGCGGGGATAGTTGGGGATAGTTCCTTGTTTGGTTGCTGTTGCTTCGACTGTTGTCTTTTTGTTGTGGAGTTCTCTTGGATTGTGGGGTTGTTCTTGGATCTTTTCTGAAGGCCTTGCGTGTCTCGGCGAAACAACGCTGACCGGGATTGCTCGTGCCACCCTCCTCCTGAGAAGGATCCAAAGGTTCCGAGAGAATCTTGCACGTGATCTTCTCTGGTTCTTGTTGCTCAGGTAGCGTCCTAGCTAGCCAGCAACAACGAAAGTGTGGCATCTCTACTAGAGTTGGCTCTAGAGCAAGATCCCTCCACGATAGAGCAAAGAATCTCTAGCTAGCTAGGTAGCAGTGGAGAATAGCCAACCACAGGCAGCTCGTTCGGGAGTTTAGTTAGGTGTACTAGCTAGTAGTGTTGATTGATTTTGCCTCTGCCTGCAGGGCTTCACCCACAAAGATCTCCTTCTGGTTGACTCAGTTTCTTACTGGCAAGGATCTGTCAAGCTCCTGCAAGGAACATGAGCCGAATCGCTATCATGCACTTGAAACAAACTGTCTTTGGGGTTGTGAGCAATTCTAAACTGGCCAATGATCGCCTGGAGAGTGTTCTTGAATCATTGGACTTTGTGCCCACTGATGTGGAACCTTCTTTGCTCACCCGCAAGAAGCACAACAACTTGACAATAGCTAGCTTTTGTGATGATCAGGTCTGGCACAGTTCAGATAAAACTTTGATTGCAGTTTGCATGGCAGAGCTGAGGAGAAAAGCAGACTGGTGCCCTCCAACTCCCGCTCCAGCTCCGACTCCAGCTCCGACTCTGGCGACTCCAGCAGCAGTCTCAGCTCCAGCAACTGCCATTGTCAATAATCAAACCTCTACTTGTACTGCTTCAGCAAATCAACTGAGCTGGCCATTGGCTCTGTCAGCAGCAACACTGGCAATGGGAGATATCACGAGAACAGGTGAGATCAGTTTCCTGCGTTGTTTTATTGGCGGCTGACAAAGCAGGAACCACAACATGTTGGTCACTGTTTTGATTTCCGCGACATACAGAAAATCTGGAATGAATTACCTCCACTTATTAGACTTTTTTACTTCCCCCCCTTGTCCATGCGGTTGTCTCGATCATGGTGTCGTACTGTGCAGCCCCACGAGTTGGGCATCTGGACGATGTGTTTCATATCTTGGCATATCTCAAGCAGCACAGTCGTTCTCACCTTGTTTTTGATCCTTCCTATGTGAACCATGTGGAACCAGAGCGACCTGACTGGAGCGATTTCTATGCCGATGCGAAAGAGCTTCTGCCACCAGACATGCCGAAGCCCCTCGGCAAACCAATCCAAATCACCATGTTTGTGGATTCTGACCATGCTGGGGACAAGGTGACACGTCGTTCGCGTACTGGTGTACTCGTTTTTGCTAACATGTCCCCAATTATCTGGTATAGCAAGAAGCAGGGCTCCATTGAGACTTCTTCCTTTGGATCTGAATTCGCAGCAATGAAGGTTGGAATCGAGATTGTGGAAGGCTTGTGATACAAGCTCAGGATGATGGGAGTCCCTCTCGATGGTCCAGCTCATGTGAAGGCTGACAACATGTCAGTGATCAAGAATTCAAGCATTCCAGAATCTACCTTGAAGAAGAAGAGCAATTCGGTTGCCTACCATTATGTTCGTGAGAGAGTCGCTGCGGGCATGGCCAACATCACCTACGAGAATACTGAGAGCAACCTGGCGGACATGCTGACCAAGATCCAGAATGGGCCTGTGAGACAGCGACTGGTGTCGAAAGTTCTTTATTAACAATCTGCAAAAGGCAACATGACCATAGGGTGGGCCGTTGTGGTTAACGGCAGGTCTGAGCCTCCAAGGGGCCCTGCCCCAAGGGTACATCCTGTTTCAGACTCATGAAGTCTGTTTTCCCCATCCCAAGTGCAATCTAGAGTGAGACAGATCCCTCTCTTGAGGGAACCGAAAATGACTGATGACTGCATGCCAGTTACCAGCTTACTAGCTAGAATCAGCCACAACTAGAACAACAACAACAACAACAACAAGTAACTACAACTACTATAACACCAATAACAACACCTCCTGCTGCTACTACCACTGTAGAAATTCGGTCTTGCATCAAACCGGTCGTGCTGAAAGAGTCGAGTCAAGTCGAGTGCACGTGATCTGATTGATCATTCTTTAGAAGGCTAAGTATTTTAAAAAAGGGCTTCAGCCGTGGATACTTTCTCGGTCTGACGCACATCCTGGCAAACAATTTCTCGAATTTCACTCAAATCGGCCACAAAAACAAAACACCATGACATCTTCTCCTGTGTACTACCTTTCGCCGCTATTAGCCTTCGAGTTGGGGCTACGACAGATGCTCTTTGCTCTAATAGTTCCACTCTTGATAATTTGTGGCACGGGAGAGGCTTTTTCTCTTTCTACAACATCCGCTGTTCTTGCAAAGGGGAAAACCAGCAGCACGCAAGTAGATATTGCGGCACCATGCATCCTAGGCCCCGGAACACGCGAGGGCTTTGGCATTACGCATGAGTACCCTATTATTCCACCAGAGGGATTATCTCTGGCAGGCGTGGTGGAAGAGTCGACCATCGAACGCTTACAACTGACGGCTACCAACCTTACCATTCCCATTGCTGTGATGCTGGTGGATCCCACGGCATTCCCGTCTCTCTCCAAGGCCCGAAAAGCGTGTCGACAAGGAAGAATTTGCTGGAAGCGACAACAACAACCAGAAGAGGAGGATGTGTCCCTGCCTCGCAAGGCACACGTGGGCGATCGAATATACCCAGGCACCATTTTATACCAGCAACAACGAATCAGCCATGGAAGCTACTCGGCATTGTTATCCAACCGTCCCTTGCCAGTCCATGTGTCAGTTGTGTACGAAGATGATGCCTTGGCCATTGTGAACAAGCCGCCGGGAATGCTGGTCTATGCCGAACGAGGGTATCAGCGAAACACGCTCAAGCATACTTTACCCTATATTCTCACGCCACCGTCTCAAATTCCATTGGAACAACACAATGATACGGCACTGGAACGACCCGAACTCTGTCATCGACTGGACAAACCCACAGGAGGACTCGTGGTGGTGGCTAAAACGAGACGGGCTGTCGTCCATTTATCGCGACAATTCGAAGAGCGAACAGTGCAAAAAACGTACACGGCTATCCTCAATGGCAAACTCACGACGACCAGCGAGGAAAATTGGCATTTGGCGGAAAATGTCATGGATGGAAAACACGCCACAACCATGTGGCGTCCCGTGCGATATCAATCGTCTCCCTTGGCCAACAATCAAACATTGACTGTCGTGGAATTGCAACCCAAAACGGGACGCTACCATCAATTGCGACGACAAATGGCATGGATCCACGGTTGCCCCATTGTCGGGGATCCCCTATACGGTGGCAGGTTGCCAGATGGGAAACGCTTTGGACGAGGATTGATGCTCTGTGCCAATAAGATTTGTTTGCAACATCCCTATTACTCTCCTCGCTCGAACGGTGGCAACAACAATAACCAACAACAGCAATGGATCCAAGCCGAGATTGGTCTTCCCGACAAATTCGAGACCTTTTTGGCAGCTCACGAGAACAAGTGGTGCCATCGAGGTGCATCGTTCGGAAACGAAAACGGAACTGACCGTTGCCGATCCACATGAAATCGGCACGATTGACGCTGCGGCAAAACCCAAGAAACGTCTCTTTCCTGGAAATTCTGAATTCATTCAAACAATCCCGTTCAAAAGAAAGATGGACACACAAAATCACACTTCTGAATAGCAGAGACTACCATACCATAGATTCGACAAAATACTACTACAACAATGAAGTTTGTACTTGGAATTACCGATCAATTGCCGTACGATTGGCAAGGAGAGCCTCGCTGGAATCAGATGCTCACCATGTCTTCTGACGATTCCTTCTATAAGATTGCTGACACGTTGTGCGAATCGACGACCAAGAAAGAGCGGCAACTTGGAGGGTTTGCCTATCATGCGGATACACAATTCTGGACCATGAAGATTACGTCTCAGAGGGAGGCAATGAAAGAGTGCAGCCCTTATCGATACGGCGGTGGTGGATCTGTTCAAATCGTCCGGGAAGAAATGGTGGGCAAATACTCGACCAAGTCAAAGCATGTGCTTCCTAGCAGTACCATGATCACTTCTACGCTTCTACATGAAGGTCAAGTCATCTTTTTCTATCACGATGATACCGAACGATTCCTGAAGGTTCTGGAGGTGCAACACTAACTACGCACGACTGTGATACGATGTGGTAGTTGGAGAAGTCGAGATGAAAACGCGAGGGCTTGCTGTGGATTCGATGCACGGGTTGCAGGAGTAGAATCTAATGTATTCATAAAGTAGTCTCTCAAAGCAAGGAATCGGTCTCCGTACCGGTACGATCCATCTGTGCGTTTGTGTAGGTTATCCATTTTATTATTCTTGGCCCCATCGAGTTTGTCCAGCGCTGGCACCACAAAACAGGCTGAGTCGCTCACACCAGGCAACCCAAACTAATCCGCCGGGTACGTAGGTGAGATTCGATTCAATCGAAGACCTTCAACTGTCAAGTGTCAAGTAAAGTCGTTTGGTTAGCTTGTGATTCGATTCATTATTACTCAACGCTTCTTGGGACGACAGAGAGTTTGCAGATAGATGCTCGATGTTAAGTATCAAGCAACCGATAGTTGGCGAATCCGCCAGTCCACAGTCACACTCATGCGAGTATGAATGATGAATCGTAGGCCAGAGTAAGGTAGTACCAGCGCAACTGATGAAGCCCAACTGACACCGACTCTCCCCAAAACTTGGCAACATCTCACAATCTGCACCCACCAAGACAAATCTACGAGCCCAGCAGCCAAGCCAAGCTAAACATGATATCAGCTGGCAACCACACGCAGTCGACCGAGGCTAAGGAAGACGACGAACGCACTCAAGGGCCAGATCACCATGACTCCAATGGTACTCAAGGATACAAACAGCCATCTACTTCACCAATGCTAATTGAAGCCGCTCAAAATGCCCAGCATGCAGAATGGATTCGTTACTTGATCAACACAAAGCCTTGGGATCATGTCTGTGCTTATGCGGATGAACATTGCATTCCCCACTCTCTAGTTCAGCTCATTGGCGAAAAGCGATTCATTAAGATCACACTAGAGGGCTACCTTTGCATGTACATGGAAAGCCAGACCAAGACGACCGTGTTTCAGCAAGAGAATAAGCTGGTTGATAGAGTCGCCAGATTGATGGACCGCCTTGACGTCAATGGAGCGAGCGGTATTGGATCCGCTGACACTACTGGTCTTGAAGCCCGAGTGGCTGTTTTGGAGAGAGACATAAGCTCGCGGATCAATGAAGCTGTGAACCAGCTTGAAGTCAACAGAACTGATCAAGAGAGCCTTGCTGGGAGAGTCCAAGGCCTAGCTGATGCTCAGGAGGGTCTTACAAGTTTGGTGGCACATTGCAGGCAACTGTTCACGGGCATTACTGACCCTTCGGATTGGATGCCATTTATGGAAAATGGAATCATGGTGACTGTTGACACCTCGCATTGCAACTTCCCACCTGGCAGTCAACCTCACTATTTTACAGCACTGGATGGATCATGGGAACATTGGACAACTACAGGTGCAACATCAATCTACAATGCAACACACAACTCATTTAGAGTCTACATCCAAGGCACTGATAGTGTGAAGGCTACCTGTCAGTTTGCTGTGCAGCATGGGTGGAAACTGAAATGGGTTGCCTTTCTCTAGGAGTGGACATTACAGATGTAATGCATGGTTCTCTCATTTGTTACTAGTGATGGAATGCAACAACATTAAAGCGTCGTGCAACAAAAGGATGGTTGTTTGATAGTTTGGAAGATGTTCAATCATGTGTGTCTCTGCATGATTCCTTTTCCCCAACCAATGCATTGTCGAGGATATTATTGACTGGACTGGAAACTGGGTGTTTCAATTCTCTGTTGTGTCCTTTACTTTCCAATGACACCCCCAAAAGCTAGACGACTGTGGATTTATATGGAAAATGATCATGTTGACTACTGCAGGCCATGTTAGACTCACATGCCGTAGCTTCATGCCAATTGCTAGCAACATATCTATAATAAGCAGGTTGCATTTCATTTGTCTTGCCTGTTGCTATGGAATAACTGCAATGGTTTGCAAGCTGGCTCCCTGACGGGAGCGACTGTTTGGATTGGGGGGCTATCTTTGGCTGTTGTAGGCGGTATCTCCAAGCTCCATTCTGCTTTCTCTTCATCTGTGGTCTGGTGACGGGTGGCAGACAGTGAAGGTGGAGGGGGTGGATGGAATAAAGTGGATTCGATTCTGCCAAAGCACCTCTCAGATCCCAGTACATGTACTTCTGATGTTTAAATTCGTGCTGTGCCTCGAAGAAAGCGCAATCCTCCGATCGGACTCTACAAACTCCACAATCAAAGCTGGAGATTCAGCAACAAGCACAACCAGATGAACAATCCTTGAAGAAAAAACCACAGTCAGTAAGTAGGCCTGAGCTTGAAGTGCAAATGGTTGTGGAGGTCCAAACTCAGAGTAGCTGTCGACACGTACGTACAGAACGCGCAAAGCACAAAGCATACTCTGTACTCGTTCCGAGTCGAGTCAGCATTGCTTCGCTGCCCCTGCAGCTGTTCGGTCCAACATCAGCAGCAGCTATTTCAATCTCAGAGTCGTCAAACACGATTTCACTCTTAAGTTAAGCCAAGTTCTATCGCCCTCAATCGGCACGGAATCACGATAAGCTAGCTAGACTCGCGAGACAACAGGGTGAACTTGTCATCATGTACGATGTACGGTATCTTTACGAACCCGATGATGATCCAGTCCTGAGAAATTCACTACTGGGTGTTCAAAGACTTGTCTCTGAGCGAGGATGACAAGGAACAAGCAGCGGAAGCCACAAGCCCTGACCGGTTGGACTACGCTCGAGGGTCTGAGAGTTGCATGTTGCTTAGTTCGTCGCAGTCGCTTCCTATACCGTACAGTACCCAGTTTTTCTTGATGCTGGAGAACGATTCTTGAAGCACAGCATCTAAACATCAGCGCTGCTGCCGATTTGTAAACGGGCACTATCATACGGTATCCCGGAGCTATCGTCTTCCTGGAACGGTGCTCGGAGCTGTGATGGAAGACCTCGGTATATCGGCGGCGCGAGCGTCCCCGGCCGGCCAGAAGCCATTCGAGCTGGGATATGGGGCCCAGTGAGAGTACAAAAGCAAAACAATGTAAATAACAAATTCGACTCACCAGGAGCTAAAAAAGTAAACTAACAATAACGAAAGGCAATGAGGTGAGAGGCTCATATGGAATTTGCATACAACCAGTGCAGGGATGGATCAAGCTTGTAGCCCTCCTCAACATCTATATGAGCGGGAAGTCAGTAGCTGCCTTGGTTGTAGAGTAGTGCGCGTAAAACAATAAGGTGCTTTCTGGTACTGTAGAAAATTGTATGGGGCATCTAACTCTGTTTGGAAGGCCTCAAAAGAGTGGAATAAAGGTGCTGCTAGAACGTCGCAGCTGCAAGGCTTGGTGCCAAACCGATTGAGAGTTAAGCAGTGTATACCTACTCCAGCTATCTGTAGCTGCTCAAGCTGGGGGTGAACTGTGTATTGCAAATGTCCAATTGCAAAACGTTGTTTTTGTTGACTGTTGGCAGTCGTTATTTTACTGTTGTACTGGAACTTTAAATAAATTTTTTCTAAAATAAAAATGCAAAAACGAATTCATTTTAATGTAAAAATAGATGTTTTTGACTTTTTACCAAACATATTTATATAGCTACATTGCACGACAACATTACGCGACTCTATTACAAAATTTATAGATAATTCTAACACATAAGAACATGCTCTAACACATCAGATCACAGTCTGACCCACAAAATATAGTTCTAATTCGCGAAAATGTAGCTTATTGCGCGAAAAATGTAACTCTAACGCAATGATTATACTTCTATCACCCAAAAATATAGTTTGGCAGCTAAATTGCATGGCATAATACAGACAAAGTTCCATGTATAACACGACAATAAATGCATTTCATATGACAACAAAAAGCTAACATACATTGGAATAGTTCTGTGACGCGTCTCACCAGCACAGAAATTTACACAGTTATAATATGCTACAACAACAAATCTAAAACATGATAGTGTAGTCCTAAACACAAACGCCAAAATGTAGTAGACTCTCTTAACGTACCAGACTGATTCAGAAACTCTGACAGCATGCGAAAATGTAGTTCTATTACACTCCTTACACCAAAGCCAAATTGCACGATGATGTAGTACTTCCAAAGCTAAAACGCGCGAAAGTTAGCTCTCTCACTCATGTAACACATAACAAAGATAATGTATTTCACATGATAATAAAGCTACTAAAACACAGAGAATAGTTCTCTCACGTGTGTACTAGAAAGAGACTCACTAGAATACAACAACAAGCTAAAATACTCATCAGAATGTACTAGTCAAAACTGACATGCGAGAGCGGCACTCTAATACTACACAAGGAAGCTACTCTAAAAACCAAAATGTAGCTCTGTCATGATATAGACACAACTAAAACGCGAGAAAAAGTATTTTTTCATGCATCTAATACACAACATATGAGAAAGTAGCTCTGCAACGCGTGTGTGACATTTAGAAAGAGAACTGAAATTTAAACAATCAAAAATGCGCAAGAATATAATTCTAACATGCAAGAAGAATGTAGCTGTAACACAAGAAAATGTAAGACATAGCTCTAATGCGCGAAAACAAGCAAAAATTCAGCTCTAACACACAAAAGTCTAGCTCTAACACGAAAAATGTAATTCTATCACGCGATATTGAAGTCAGTTTGCATTACATAATACGAGCAATCTAAAATATGCAAGAATATAGCTCTTGCTCTTGCACAAGTGTGATATGACAACCAATGTATTTCACAAGACAATAAAGCAAAAATACGCGACGAGAAATATATTTCTCTTACGTGTGTGCCAAAAAAGAAATCTCGCTGACATAGAAGTTTTGCTTAATAACAAAGTTGAAATATGCGAGTATGTATTTCAAAAATATAAGAGTCGAGCTGTAACAAGCAAGAATCTAACTAAACACGCGAAAATTAACTCAAACGCGCGAGAATCAGCTCAAGCTCTAAACACGCGAGAATCTAGCTCTCATACATAAGAATGTACTACCTGTATTATGCGATATTGAGCTGCATGACATACGAATACAACTATATTACGCGAAATTTAAGATAACTTTGCAATTCCAAATGACATCAAAATTACATCGTGATAAAGTTACGCTGTGTGGCTAATTAGCAAAATTACGCGAAATTTTGCACGAAATTTTGCACGAAATTTTGCACATCACGATTTTGACATTTTGCACGACATTTGCACGACATTTTGCACGATTTTGCACGATTTTGCACGATTTTGCACGAATTTTTGCACGAATTTTTGCACGAATTTTGCACGAATTTTTGCACGACACATTTTTGCACGACACATTTTTGCACGACATTTTTGCACGACATTTTTGCACGACATTTTTGCATGCATTTTTACGCGACATTTTACGCGACATTTTTACACGACATTTTTACAGACATTATTTGCACGACTTTTTTGCATACGTTTAAAAGAATACTCACAATGATGTATTTCATTAATTTAATTAGACAACTTAGCCAGTGGTTATTGGGGTCCCCTTTGGGGTATACCCACTGGCGACATGAATGATTTTAATAGATCATTAAATTGTTTTTGGGTTTCTCAATTAAGAATGTTTAAAAATTGAGCAAAATTAAAGATTTATTTTTTTATTTTAGATGTATTTTAATATTTCTGAATAATATTATTTGTAGAAAAACTTGTGTATATAACAGAAAAATATTTTAATATTACATAAATTAGTTGTATTGTTATAATCTATTTATTTTATATATTTATATATTTTGTTACTTTTACTAGTTTAATTAGTTTTATTGCCAATAATTACTGAATAATTGTTAAAAAACAGATAACTTGCAGCTGTTTTCTGAAGCCATACTTTAGATTATAGGAATTGCATTTGAGTCTGACATTGTTTTGATTCGGGCACTGTTAAAATAGAAATGGTTGTAGCAGAGCTAGTAGCAGTGCTGATGATGGCAGCACGAGGATGGGTCAATCACGAGGCGACCCATGTCCTTAACTTCATATGTTGAATTTTATTAATATTTCCCTGGCTGGTGGGTCAAATCTCTCTGCCCCATGTTATCAGTTTAGGGCACCCGGTAGCAGCACAGTAGACAAGTGGTCAGCCAAATTGATTCTATTCAAAAATTGTTTATATGCATACGGTACGTGTTCCCTGTTTTCTTGTGTTTATATGCATACGGTACGTGTTCCTGTTTTCTTGTGTTCCCGCGCGTCCTTGATCGCTGCGACCGGCCGAAAACGAAGTTGACTCCCAGAGTGACGTCAGCACAGTGTTTCGGATGCAGTCTCAGCCCCGTGTTGAATGATCTCTCAATCTCACACCACACCTCTTTCCTCTTTCGCGAAAGATCACATCCAAAAGGCGGCTCAATCTTCATCTCATTTTATTTTCGGAAACGCAACACTATCCCAGCACTCGACGAGCGAACACTGCAATGCCCCATCTGTTCCTCCCTCTACGCCCTGGAAAATATGCTCTGGGCATGATGGTCCAATCGGACAACTTTTGGGCAGATCTCAATGCCTGGACGTATTTGATAGGAGGTTTCTCATTCATTATCGGCAGTGTATTCTTCCTACCCAAATACGAAGAGTTGGCCAACGTTGGAAGTTGGATCTTTTTTGTGGCTTCCATCTTTTATCTCTTGGTGGCACTCCACGACGCGGCGGAATTGGCCCAACACCACGGCGGGCGTCTCGAACTCAATATCGACTCTGCCGCGGCTCTCAACTACATTATCGGCTCTATTGTGTTCATTTTGGGGAGTGTCTTTTTCCTCCCCGACGTGGGACTGTATACCCCAGGGGCGTACTGTTTCATTATTGGCTCGCTCTGCTTCCTAGTCGGCGCCGTCCTGAATGGCCTTCAGATTTTCGAAGCCAAGACCAAACGAGACGCGCAATACTTGCTCCTCATTGCCATGTCCTATATCATTGGTTCCGTCATGTTCCTCATTCCCTCCGTGCCGTATCTTTTCGAATTTGATACCATCTCGGACGAAGACGAGATCTACACCTTTCTGGCAGCAATCTACATTGTGGGGTCCTTGATGTTTACAGTGGGGGGTGCCATCAACTTTCACAGATCCAAGGCATTTCAAGAACTACAAAAAAGACTGGGGGTAGAAAACGACGCGGAGGAAAATGAGGGGCAAGACGAAACTCCAGAACAGCCGCTCTTTCTCCTCACCACTGAAGAACCCAAATCACCACCACCCATGGAAAGCATCACGACGCAAGTCACGGCATGAGATGGATGCTCAGTCTTGATAACAGAAAAGCAGCCGCCGTCCCCTCCCCTCCCTTGAGTGTACCTTCATTTTCAGACTATTCGGTAGCCAGCTAGCTGCCTGTATCAGTTCGTGGTAGACCAAAAACTACTGCCCACCCCGCAGATAGGATAGGTTGCCTTAGTGTCTATCGTCACATTGAATGCGCGACAGGTACCCTAGCGTTGTGTTGGTGTGCACGATACTGAATAGTTAATTGAATCATCCAATCAAACGGTGCATGATCCAATGGAGCTGGGTTGAGGAATCGAATCGATCAAGGTTCTTCTTCTCCGACCTTCGGAACCGAACATGCAGCCCACACTCCAGCCCAACACCGTACCAATAATACTCCTGATCCTCATCATGACAGTCCCTTCGGGCGGAGCGGCTGGAAAGGAACGCACGGAGCAAGCAGCGGACCAAGCTGGTCTCCAAGAGCCAGAGGAGCGTGAGCTGCCAGCTCTACTAGACCCATTGGTAAAAGATGCTCATCATCTAGTCCGGATTCGGCACTTGAGCAATGCCGCATTTTGGGAGGAAGCTTTTGCTTATGCAGACAGGCACAACATTCCAACTGCCATGGTGCAGCAAATCGGAGCAAAGAAGTCCACACCCCTAACATTTCAGAGCTACATGCAGCTTCATGTGGAAACCCAGGAGATTCCAACAGGGTCCAGAAGGAGGATCATGGTGGAAACCATAGCCAACATGTTGCATCAGGGTGACACCAACAGCACCGCCGCGGAGAGAGTCCACCCACCCGCTGATTTCCAGCAGAGGAACACGAAGTTGCTTGTCGACAGAATGGAAAATTGGAGAGCCAGAATGCAAAGGAACTGGAGACGACCGAGACCAGATTGCCAACCGATCCGGAACTGAGGATTGCGAGCTACGTGCCCCAGCGACAGCTTTTCACGGGTAGAACAGATCCAACCACGTGGGAGCACTACTCCGCCAACGGGATCAATGTGACTATGGCTACATCCCACTGCAATTTCCCTACCGGTAGCCAACCTCATTACTTTACATCCCTGGTTGGTAGAACTACTGCAGGTGCTACTTCCATCTACAATCCAACTTACAACTCGTTCAGCGTCTTTGTCACTGGTATCCGCGGGGCAAATATTTCCCCGGAGAAAGCCAATCATGGCGGTTGGCAGATTCAGTGGGTTGCCATCCTCTAGCTAGGTAACTTGCCCGGAACGGGTAGGTACCGCTACCGACAATAAAACTATTTGCAAAACTATGTAAGCCTCAGTTCCAGGCCACAGAAAACTTGCTCAGAACCTTCGATGTCAATGTACCCATCGACTGTCACGCAGCTTATTGCCATTCAAAGACGGTGGAAGGCCTACCGGTATGCTCTGTCGCCATCTCCAAGCTATGTTGTTCAACGTCCTCACCGAAAACTGCGCAAGGCATTACGTGAGCCCCCCAATGTCATCAAAAGATTTAGTCTACCGTACTTGGCAGATGTTCTTGCCTTCTCTGCTAGCTTATCATTTGAAACCATTGCGGAGTTGCCGGTACCGAAAGATCTAAAGGCAAATCCTGGATTCTTGCCCTCTCCATCCGTCGGCACTTGCGCAGCAGGGGAAAAGAGAAGACCACCGCCAAGCCCTCACAACACCATCTCGATATCTCGATCCTTGGTTACTATCCTCTTCAGCAACAAAGAGCTCAACACCCCCTCGATCCTAATAAACTCATACATACATAAAGACACTTTGTATCAATCCTCCCTCCCGTACGTAACGTTTGAACAGACGAAACGAAGTTCACAGATTAGCAGCGCCTCCATTTTCCACAACTTCAGCTAAGATGGCTTCGATAGAGAAGCAAGCTCCTCCTAGCAACATTGTTGCTGGCACAGGTACATACCGAGATGGGCTCACAGAACCAGCCAAGGACAATCGGTATAAGACAGAAGATGTCACTGACACAAAGGGTCGAGATTTTGAAGATTTCTTCCTCAAGCGAGAACTATTGATGGGGATCTTCGAAAAGGGGTTCGAAAAGCCCAGCCCAATCCAGGAGGAAGCTGTGCCTATTATCTTACAAAATCGCAATGTACTTGCAAGGGCAAAGAATGGAACAGGAAAGACAGCGGCTTACATTATCCCATGCTTGGAAAAGACAGATACCACACTCAAAAGTATCCAGGGTAAGTAAATCCCAAATGGGTTGACACGGTTCGCCCATCATATCTGACGTGTCGAAGTCTAATCTTTGTGTCATCTTCTTCTAAAATTCAAATCAATTCTCTTATATGACAATTTGCATATGCAGTGCTTATCCTAATTCCAACTCGGGAACTTGCCTTGCAGACATCAGCTATCGTCAAAGAGATCGGAAAGCACATGGGTGTTCAGTGCATGGTTACAACTGGAGGTACCTCTCTCAAAGATGACATTATGCGTTTATACAACCCTGTCCACATCATTGTGGCAACGCCTGGGCGTATCTTAGATCTGGCGTCCAAGAAAGTGGCCGATTTGAGCCAATGCCAAACAATTATCATGGACGAAGCAGACAAGCTTCTCTCGCCCGAATTCCAACCAGTGTTGGAACAAATCATTGGCTTGTGTCATGAGGAGCACCAAATTTGTTTGTTCAGTGCTACATTCCCAGTCACGGTAAAAAACTTCTGCAAAAAGTCCGTCCCCAATGCCTACAGTATCAATCTGATGGATGAATTGACCCTCCGAGGTATCACCCAGTTCTATGCTTACGTCGAAGAGAGGCAGAAGGTCCATTGTCTCAACACACTCTTCTCAAAGCTGGAGATCAACCAAAGCATTATCTTTTGTAACTCGGTCAACCGAGTAGAATTGCTGGCAAAAAAGATTACCGAGTTGGGCTACTCGTGCTACTACATTCACGCCAAAATGCAGCAGGCAAACCGAAACCGCGTGTTCCATGAATTCCGCAACGGAGCAACAAGACACCTTGTGACATCAGGTAAGTATTTCACAGCTATTCCTGACAGAGTTTGCCAATCTGAATTTCACAGTGCCATGCTAACCACAAATCTTTGCCTGCTTTACACGCACAGACCTGTTTACACGCGGAATTGATATCCAATCAGTGAATGTGGTTATCAACTTTGATTTCCCCAAGAATAGTGAGACCTATTTGCACCGCATTGGTCGATCGGGACGCTTTGGGCATTTGGGTCTTGCGGTGAACTTGATAACCTACGATGATAGACATTCGCTGCGAAGAGTAGAACAGGAGCTGGGAACTGAAATCAGAGCCATTCCTCCTGTGATTGACAGAAGCTTGTATGTTGGCTAGACCGACCATTTTGGGGGGAGAGATTAGTGCCTGATGGTGGCAACACTGTTGGGGTAACATGAACTCTCCTCCTTTTTTAAGCAGGCAGGGGGTGGGGATTAAGAAGGCGATGGGAGACTTTGTTTGGTTTCCTTAACAGGTAACCCCCCTCCGTTTTTTCTAGTACACAGAATTGCTTTAGGACATAGGAGCTTCAGGCATTTTGTCAACGAAGGCTTTCGGAGCAACGGTGGGTTGCATTAGAGCTGAAGCCTTCGCAGCAACCAAATCTGGATCCGGTTCGGTGGATATTTTCCCTACTAGCTAGCTAGTACTAGTAGTCGTACCATCTCCAACCCCGTTCTTCGTAGGTAACACTAACCCCAAAATCATTCGCGTCAGTTGATTGACTTCGGAAGATTTATCGGAGGTCACAGCCACGAGGGACGTCACCTCCCAAGGGCAACTAAAAAAAGCCACCCATCCCACATGCCACAAGAGGTCCAGCAAAAATGGAAGGTAAAGCCCAAATGGATGATGAGGAAGAGGTGATGGATATTGTGGCTGCCAGAAGCCACGGTGACAATAATGAGGCGGAGCTCAGAATGCCGGACATTTTTGAATTGGAAGCGCCACAGAGAGAAGACAAGCAACCGAAGAGAGAGGAAATGGGGAGGCCGTTCAAGCCACCACAGCAACATCACAGCACAACAGGTGACAACTCCACCGGAGAAGAAGCCAGAGATTACAAAAAGGAAGATGATACCTCTGTTTTGAATGTAGAACAAAGGCAAATAAAGAACCATCATGAAGTTACCGGGGAAACTCCGTCAGCAGAAACTGACTTGGTGGACGTGCCTGCTTTTCCACAACCAAGGTTGACTCGTGGGCAAAATCGGTCAGATGAAATTGCCATGCATCCAGGAGCATATGCAGTGACCCCCGGGAGTGATCTCCAGGGAACCGCAACAATCAGTCATTCCTTAGTGGGAGCTACTTCTTCTTCTGATGAGCTGTCTGGTTCTGATAGTTCTGATGAAGAGCTGGCATCAAACGCAAACGCAATGAATCCAATTACGGCAGATGAGCAAGCTACAACTCCAACAGACAACAATAGTGGATTGGTGGTGGCAAGCCAAGTTGAAGAAACTGAAGAACCAACACAGATTGCTAGACCCAACCAGTTGCCTGGGAAAAAGGGTTCAAGCTCAATGGCTCTCATGATCCCTTTGCTCATTGGAAGCCTTCTCATGGTTGGAGTGATTGTCGGTGCCATCTGTGGGGCTGGTCTCTGCAGTAACAAAGAAAGTGATGTGGAGACCCAGGCTCCAACTTCAGTTCGATATTTTGTTTTGGAGGACTTTCAAAACAGAATTGAAGAGGCTTTTGAACTTGGCTATTTTCCCAAAAATGATGAGCCAGATCACATCCAGCCAAGGTTCGAGGCTCTTAATTGGATTGTGTTTGAAGATTCTCTGCAGCTTGACTCAGATGCAACCAATCTTCTTCAGAGGTTCATTGTGGTATTGACTTACTTTCAAACGTCGCGGGAGAGCGACTGGCTTGATTGTGGACCTTCTACAGCCGCAAACGATGAAGCTTGCTGGATTCAAATCCAGCGTTCGGAATCATCGGGAAGTAGGTGGCTCACAGGTGTTCATGAATGTCAATGGGCAGGAATTTATTGCAATGGAGAGAAAAAGATTACTCATTTGCAGCTTGGTGAGTTTTCTATCTTTAATTGACCACAAGGAGCACCAAAGGGCATGATTCTCGCACTAATTCTTTGCCTGCTTGATTTCAGGTCAAAATGGATTGAATGGTCCTTTGCCCACCGAGATTGCCAGGCTTTCAGCACTGGAATTATTAGGCTTTCCGCAGAACCAACTAACCGGAACTATTCCATTGAAATTGTTTGGAAACAAGCTCTCCTCAATATCTCTTACAAACAATTCAATTACAGGGACAGTGCCCACAGAAGTTGGACTCTTTGATGGGACTAACCTTGAATTTGGTTCAAACAGCTTGTCTGGTTCCATCCCTACAGAGCTCTTTCAGACTGGCAATGGGATCCGTCTCACTTTGGGGTTTAATGACAATAAGGTACAACAACCTCCAGAAACAGAACATCAGTGATCTTCAACTTTTGGTCAAGAGCCTAAACTGTGATTGTCAGCTCACCCTTTCCCTGCTTTGTAGCTTACAGGAACTCTACCCACTGAAATTGCAGCATGGCACGGACTTATTCATCTCAACGTCCATTTGCAAGGGAACCCTTTACACGGAACCATCCCGTCCGAAATAGGACTTCTGAAAAGCTCTTTAAGAGAATTTGATATCAGTTGGACCAATATGGATGGCTCCCTACCAGAGGAACTTTTTACAAAATGTACCGACTTAGTTTCAATTGGGGTCTCCAACTGTGGTTTCACTGGGACAATCAGCACTGGGCTGCAGCTTTTGAGAAATCTAGACATGTTTGACATTTCCAACAACAAGTTCCATGGCACCATCCCAGCACAGCTTTCTGCTCTGACATCTCTGCGTTGGTTTGTTGTAAATGGGAATGACCTTTCTGGTTCCATTCCATCATCTGTCTGTGCTTTGGCTGACCCCTCAAAAGGCGAATTTGAAGTGGCTGCCGACTGTTTGCCAAGGGATGGCACAGGCAATCCCATGGTAGAGTGCTCTTGTTGCACTCTGTGTTGTGATGGTGATGCTGCAGACTACTGCCTGTCCATGTAGTAGCGTTCCAGTCACGGCCCTGGGATAGAATCTTGGCTGGGGGTTTGTCTCGGAGACAATGCCTACCTTGGCTCTTGGCGGCCTTGGCACAGCAGCAGGGGTGTAAAGCAAAAGAAGTCCCTTGTGGCAATGACGGTGACGTCAGTCACGCACGGCAAATCCTTGCTTAGCGTTATTTCTGTACTAGCTAGTAGTAGAGGTGTGTTGGCTTGTGGAGATCCTGTTGGTGTGTCCATGTTCTGAAGTTGCTACTCCATAGCAGCCTAGTCTCCACAAGAACAAAAAAGCAAACATGATAACGGTGGCAACCCGTCTGTTCTTCCTATTCATCCTGGTGGCGGGAGTGACTGCTTTTGCGATACAGACTCCAAACCCTCACGCTACCCAACAACAACCCACAGAGGCGGCTAGCCGTCGAGACGTTTTGTACACGTCGTTCCTGGCACCCTTGCTGACAACAAGCGCGGCGGTTGTCTCAAATCCATCTGTTTCTCATGGGTACACTCCCGACCCGGATGCTCTTCGAGAGTCGCTCTATTTGATCTGCCGTGTCCAAGAAGCCACCTGTTTGCAAGAGCGGTACATTGAAAACCAAAGACCGCCCATTCAAAAAATGAAGCTCACGCTGCGGCTGGTCGATAAGTCCTACCGGTTGCTGGATCAAGTCAATTACATTTCCAAATTCTTCGACAGTGACAGCGTCGTCCCAGCGACGCAGTCGGGAAATGAAGCAGCCGATTCACTGCAAGAAGCCATTGATTTTGTGTACAGCTACAAACAAGATGCCTCCGCCATGACGCTGGAGCAAAAGGACTTTTTGAAGGAATCTCTCACCACCACCCGGGAAAAGTTATTTGAGTTTTTGGATTATCTACCAGAAGCACAGCAAAAGAAGGTAATGGAAGCACGGGCACGAGTGGAAGAGGAGAATAGTCTCAACAAGGATGAATTTGATCCTGATCTTGCCACTGACGCGGGAGTCTACAACCCTGTGGTGCTGCCCTGGAAGACGAGGAAAAGCTAAGAAGGATCAGTGGACAAGAAACCCGGTCCGTCTGGAGGTCATAAACAGCAGCAAATGTTAATCCCCGAATATACTTACAACCTACGATCCCGTTATCTCGGAGGCAGATTGGAATAGGAGCTCCGTTGCCGGTGTCAGTCTTTGGTTTGACAACGAAAGCGGCAAACAGAAAGAAAACAATCTTGACCTCGCAACTGTGTAAACAGAAACCAACAATCTTGACCTCGCAACTGCGTCTCCGACGGTCGTGTCTCTAGAGGTACGAAGTGTGGAAAAGCTGCTGCTGTCTTACCCCCACGCACAGCAGCAACGTGACGTGCTCTGCGAGAACGTTCGTTGGGGATTTCTCAATGACAAGAACACATCAACATGGCGGCGACCGTTACGCGACTAACTAATAAACCCATAAGCGTTGCTCGAGTACTAGCTAGCTAGCTAGCTAGTACATCCAATGTCGAGGTTTTGGAGGAGAAAGGTTCGCACCAACACAAAACACAATCTCGAGACAACTGTCACTCTGATACCTCACCTTTTCTGAAGTACAAAGCATTGCGCATCTTGGACAGCCACGATGACAATCGCAGGCAATCAAAAGCAAAAGAAAGACTGGCCTTCAGCATATCAAGGATTAGTCGGGCTTCCCTTCAGCAAAGAGAGGACCCGTGGTCTCTTCAAGCATTATCATGAACTGACCTCTCTGTTTCAGCTGGCAGCAACCACCATCCATGAAGAAGAGCACCTAGCAATGCTGAGTGTCAATGGCAATGGAACCATCACTTTGTCTCACCACCTTCGAGCTACCAGCTACTCAACATCTGATGGCCATTTTCACCATGATGTGTTGGCAGTTTTTGGCCTGGGAAAAGTGCTTCAGCACCTCTCCTTCAGCCGGATTTCATGGATGGCTCTGTTTTTGAGCAGATAGATGTGGTCACTCCTTCAAACAGTCGCTTAATCAAAGCAGCACAGTCAGGTAGTCAAAATTGATTTGCCTGCCTTCAAAACATTCCTGCTGAAGACGAGTACCAGCCAAGAGACCTGGCTGATGTGCAAACAGAACTGAAAAGCTTCATCTTTGTCCCTCCACATGTAGCAGTCAGACTGCTCAAAGCTCCAAACTACATGGCTCCCTATGTGGCAGCCAATCATGTCCTTTCTTCTTGCAATGGACTTGAGGAATCTTCACCAGAGTATGGCCACATCTGTTCCATTCTCCGTTGGATTTGGTGTGCCCAGCAAGGTCTTCTAAAGTTCACTGTCTACAGGATCCCAGATGATGACTGTGCCGGCCAGATTGCTGAGTCCCTGAAGAGGTACAGATTAGAACACAGACAGGTTCGCCCTGCTCAACGCACCTCAACGGAAGGTTTTCGTCGCACCAACCAAAACCTCCTCTAGCCTTTTGTTTTCGTTCCCCTGACCAAAACCTGTAGTTTTCGTTCCACCGACCAAAACCTGTAGTTTTCGTTCCACCGACCAAAACCTCGTCGTGTCGTTTTGGCTTGCTCGCTGCCGGTCATTTTGAATCTGCTTGGCAGCAGCAGCCACAAAAGCCACAGAACAACAACAACAGCACCATTCCACCCATTCAACAAGAACAAGTCAACATCTCTCTCTCTTCCAAGCCTTCCCCAACCACAAAGCACACACCATTGTCACTGTCTGTATCCCTACTGCTCCTGTCAACCAGAGATCTCCATTTTCCTGCTGTTGGTGCAGTCAAAAAGCAAGGTTTTCAGTGTTCTCAGAGTACACCGGAGTTTTCGTCGCAGCGACCAAAACCTGATTCGCTGGAGGTTTTCGTCGCACTGACCAAAACGTAATTTGCTGGAGGTTTTCGTTGATCCAACCAAAAGACATCAAGTAAGTTTCCGTCGCGCCGACCAAAACGTCGACTTTCCGTCGCGCCGACCAAAACTCACTCTTCCAGTTTCCATCGCTTCGACCAAAACTCACGCTTCCAGTTTCCATCGCTTCGCCCAAAACTCTCTCTTCCAGTTTCCGTTGCGACGACCAAAACTCGCTCGTAAACTTCTCGTCGTTTTGACCAAAACTATTGTGTGAGTTTTCGTTCCTCTGACCAAATCTTATTGTTCGGGTTTCCGTCGTACCAACCAACACCCCTCCGTTTCCACTCCGTTTCCACTCCGTTTCCACTGTTACCATAGGTACTGTACTGGCAATGAGCGAAGATTCGTCCGTCACTGATGTTGGCCCACCGAAGAAGAACAAAGGAGGGAGGCCACCATCTAAGAAGTCGAAAGAAGAAAAGCAAGAAGATAGGAACAGCGATTCCAGGGAGAGAACGAAGATGACTAAGGCCGAAATCAAGAAAGGCATTCTCCTGGGCCGGCATGTGTTCATCCTTTCCGAACCCCTTTGTCCATTCGAACTGTGGGTTGAGGAATCCGAGGCGGAATCTGAGATAACCCAGCTGAACAAATTCCTTGGAGAGAAAGTTGTGCACCGATTTTGTTTGATGGATCTGGTGTCCTACGAGGATCCCAATTCCAGTGGTCATTTCGGCAACAAGCACAACAACAACCACTTGAAAGTGGACGACGACGACTGTACATACATGCAGGAGGTGGTGAACAAGAATGGATTGACTCCCATCGTTCCTGTATCCGATGGAAAGAATGACGAGTCTGTGACCTTGTCGGATCCATACTTCCTGGTGGCTTCGAAGTTCTACAAACGTGTCAAAGGATTGAGGACAGCAAAGCTCATGGAGGAATTGAAGATGGAGAATGACGAGGGATGGTGTGCAGAGTGGTTTCCGGATATGCGTTTCATCACCCAAGATGCTCTAATGAAGGCTTTGGTGGAGGACCAACCTCGGCTGCTTCGTTTCCTGGTTGCGAACACTGACACGTTTACTGATAACCATGACACCCGACTTTATGCACCTGGGTACCTCGGCCAATCTGAGCCCCTTATTTCCAAGTACAGGTCTTTCATGGCCGAGCTTGCTGCCCATGGAGTACGAGTCTACCCACCAGTCAGTACTACGTGCTTCTTTCACGACAAGCCCAGACGAGACGAATCTTTGACTCCTTTCATGTTGCCGAACGTATACGTGGTCTTGCCCCAGAAGACAATCAACGACGTTCCATGGGAATCACTGACCTTTATTCAGCTCGTTCATTTTGCTGATGAACGGATTCTCAATCGGCCGGCAAACGGAGAATGGAAAACTGGGACTGGAATTCTGAATGGTCTGCGGAAACCAGAGAGGTTCCGTAATGGATATTACATCAAGCCTGCCGATTCGTGTGCTGGAAACTCGGTACTGTGGGTTCGCGTTGACTTTGGTCCTGATGGTAATCAGAACGGAATTGCCATTGCGATGGATCTATCGGGGGAAACCTTCACGTCTCCGAAGGCATGGTACGAAGGACTGGCGGTGAAAAGCAAGGTCTGGTGTTTTCAGGTGGCGGAACCCTGTCTTCGTGGCAGAGAGTACCGTGTGTTTTTCCATGTTGGACCCAATGGACACAATCAGTACCTATGCCTGCTCAACACGAACTACCCTTTTCAAGAGAGCGAGGAAAATGGTATTGTGTCCAAACCTGGACATATTGGCTGGCAATCATTCGTTGGACTTCCGAAGGGCAACCAAAAGAACAAGCAGTTGACCTTTGCTAAGCTGCATCAGTTGGTCAGGACAAGTCAGTATGAAGGAACCAAACCTGCCGAGTGGAAATTCCTGGCAAATGAGGTTGGCAAGGGCAATCTGTTCAAAGATTTTCGAACTGCAATTGATTCGTGCGGTACAAAAGTGATGCATACGCATCTCATTTACCGTTTTGATATCTTTGAGACGGATTACAGGAGTGGCGTGGAGAAGGAAACTGTGGACTCGTGGCAGCAAACCCTATCTCCTGGCTCATTGCCCCCTGACTATAAAGCTCCCTACTTGGTGTTTTGGGATTCAGGGCTTCTTCTATTTGGTGAGGGATCATTCCCTTGGTTGTTCTCTGCAGGCACCAAGACTTTCTTGGTGGAAACTGACCAGATGACTCAGGAGCTGCAAAGTGAGTTACGCGTGCCAACACATCAGCGACTTCCTCATTCGTGACCACCATTCTCATGTCATTTCGGTACTTTCGGTACCATTTTGTTGTTTCGTCATGATTTTTTTGGCCGTACAGGGCTACGAACTTCTTTTGGTATCTGGGTGCAAAGTGGTGTCCTTGTACGTTAATCAGGGAGGCAATATGGCGGCAGGGGTATCCATTTGCCATGCTGTCAGGACAATCACAGGTAACAACATGGTTGAATGGCCCATCCGGTATGAAACGAACAAGTCTGATGCGCACAAACCTGGGAATGGGACTTGATTCGTGGCATGTTTTGCAAAATCGCACCTCTTCATTGTTGCATTCTTGACAAAAGATCCCCTTCTGATCAAGTCTAACCGTCTCGATTGTCTTTGCTTCCTGGCAACTTGCCCTGTGAACATAGTTTTGTTTTTGCAGGTGTAACCCATGACTGAAGCTTTCTCCCATTGGAGTCAAGAATGGAGCTGTGGGAGAGGATGACCATAGCATTGTCCCGTCTTTGATGGCCCTGCGTGACTTGTTCAGTCTATCCATTTTCAGATCCGTCTGCTGATTTTGTGTTCGAATGGAAGTAGCAAGGTTCATGTTTGGTGTGACAGGGGTGCTGCTTTTGACTTTGATCTTTTGGTTGATCCCACCCTCCAATGCGGAAGTGCTGGTCTGCTGAAGATACCTCCTGTTAAGTCTATGCACGATGAACCAACGATCCTTGTGTGGAAGTATTTTGGTCACAAGGAAGGTTTCCATGAATCTTGAATTGTGCTCCAACGCATCGTTGATCTTCTGAATCTGCTTGTTTCTTGACGATCTCTTGTTTCTGAAACTACGAAGCCAGGTGTACAGCATACCCAGTGAAATTTGATATTCCTCTTCACTTTCGATGCCACCTCCAGTCATCCATGTGTACAGCCATTGAATGAAGGTTTCCTTTTGGTCTTTGCAGAAGGATTGGTCCATGCACCGGAAGTTAGAGCCGGCCTTTTCCATTGGCTGTCGCACCAGATGAAACAAACAAAGTCCATGGATTGCTCTTGGATAGTGTTCCTCCCGGTTCGCATCAAAGGCATTGTAGATTTTGTTATCTCCATCGCTCAGTACCAATTGTGTGCGTGCAAGTGCCTCTCTTCCAAGCAACGTCGGGAAGACTGTGGAGAATATATAATCGAATACCCACTTGCATTGGGAAGGTAAGAACATTCGAACAGGAGTAAAGATTTCCATTTCCGGTCCTGGACAGCAACTAACGAACAATGGCCTGCCTTGATTGTTTGTTCCCATAGTGACATCTACCATCAAGACTTCGGGGAACATCTCGAAGAGTTTCTTCTCATCCGTGCGAGTCCAAGCGAGTGCCAGCACAACCTTCTGCCCCACCTTCATGTCATTCCTGATTGCGAACAGAGCTTCTCCCAAGCCAAGCAGTTCATTTGTGTTGCTCAGTGTGACAGAAGACTTTCTCGTAACTTGACCACTCTCATCACTGCACTCAAAGGAGAGACTAACATCTTCGGCTTGCTCAAGTTCAAGGTCAGTGGGTGTTACTGAGTGAATCTCTGAATCCTGCATGGCCATTCTTTCCTTGGCTTTGATATCATACTTCGACACAGCCAATAAGCTGGTTTCTGTGACTTCATGCAATAGTGCCATGTAACTCATCTGTCCCAGCTCACACTGGGACCGAAGGTAATCAATTGCTTCTTGTGCCTGAGTTTGCTTTTTACCTGCCTTGCCCTCAAACTTCTTCTGGTTGTGTCGAAGCTGCCCCTGGCTGATGCCATGGGAGCCACTTATCTTGGTCGCCAAAGCCTGCGCTCCTCCTCCGGGGACCATTTGAGAGAACATGGCAAACTGCTCCCGTTCAGACTCAGTGAAGCTAGCCATTGGTCTGTCCTGCTCTTCTATAGGTACACACTCGTGGTTGTGTTGGGCATTGGATTTGGTTGTATACTTCAAGTACCAATACTGACCTTCTTTGAGTCGAAGAATGAGCTGGAACTTGCATTCGTTCCCTTTCAATGGGAGCTGGGTGCTTGTTCTTCTGCTTCCACTGCGACCATCATCTCTGCACGCTTTGTCCTTGTTGACAATACGATCCATTCTCACATCTGCCTTGTAAACGTCAGGAGAACAGTTGTCAGAGTTCTCCTTCCCCAGTCGAATGGACGTCTGCGAGCTCGCCCAGTCTTTCTTTTCTCTGTAACAAGTTCCAACATTGCAAGATAGAGTGGTGTTTTTGTCCTTGGAGTCATGGCGAGTCTGGGTTGGTTTGAGAAGTATGTTTGCTTTCAATGCAGCCTCTTTGAATTTGTCTTCAACAAATTTGCGCTTGTCCCAATCAGGTGGGTACAAAGAAGGTGGCAGCTTCAGTACTTCCTTACACATTGTGGCTGCCAACTGAGATTCAAATCGAAATATCTCACAAACATTGATTTTCTTGTTATCCCCAACATCATCGATAAGAATTGGGTCCGGCGACCATATGAATGGACGCTCAGGTGGACCTTTGACAAGGTCGCTTGTGTTAGTAGACATGTTGAGTTGAACTGTTGTTTGGTTTGGTTTGGTTTGGTAAAAGCGCGTGTGTTTGATTATAATGGCAATTCTGACAGGAAGATTCATCTGGTAAGCCAAATTTTGATGTGTTTCCGTTTCTTTTCTGCACGTCATTGGTTTCTGACATTTTGGTCGCTGCAACGAAAACTTAAAATTGGGTTCTGGTTACAATAACAAAAAATAATATTTAAATATTGGTTATACAAACGAAAACGACTAGATAGGTATTGGTTGCATAAACGAAAACCCGTGGAAAGGTTTTGGTTGGAAAAACGAATACATTCAGGGTAGTTTTGGTTGCACCAACCAATATGGCAGTTAGAGCGGGGTGAACCTGTCTGTGCCATAATCCTTGTCACCTCACTGATCCATCTAATGGAACAGTCGCGGGTTGCAGCATGGGCACCATTGAGACTCAAGAAGATGGATCTAGAGAAAATGCATCCTTTGATGCATCTTGCCTGGAAGCCAGAGTTGCTGCTCTTGAGACCCACTTGAGTGCCTCATTAGGTCTGCAAAAGAAACAAGATCAAGCCAGAAAACAGGAACTGGTGGATTGTGAGATAGTGAGGGATCATGAGATCCTCAACAATCTAGGCAGTCAGCATGCTCTCAACCCTGCCAGTAGCCCTGCATCCTCAACTGAAGGGAATTGAAATATGGGCAACAGAACAGTTGAGAATGTAGTTAGATAATCAGTACTATAGTCACAATGTAGCACCTCAAACCCTCACGCTTCCTCTGCGCATGCTACATGCTTCGAGCAACTCCTCACTTACCATCGTACGTGAGAGAGCACCTCGTTTAGCCAACCGAGCACCGCCTTTTCTGACTCATCGGTCAGTCAAGGAGCTGCTCCCTACTCACAGGTGCGCCTATCGGCCACCAACCTCCAATATCAACAGATAGAAGAGGCACAATCTTTCCGTTTGAAAGACACTACCAAGATTTCTGACTCCGACGATCACGAAGATATTCCTGATCGGGAACAGAGAGCCGCAATACGATCACAGAGAGTTGAAGAAGAAGAACGGCAACAACTGAGGATCAGAGAGCGATTGCAGCGAAGAAGAGAACGAGATCAAGCAAGACAACCAATCATGGATGCAGCCGCGATCCAGAACCTGGTGCAAGCAGCAGTACAGGCAGCACTTCAGAACCAGGACGTCATCAATGCCATTCGTCCTCAACCCGCAGCAGCAGCCGCGTTCGCAGTGAATCCTGCAGGAGCTGGCAACGCCCCTTTGGGACTTCACCTCACCAACTGGACTCCGTATCTTCATTGCCTCGACCGCGGCATTTCCGATCCCCTTCGATGGAAAGGAGATCAACCTCCGTGATTTCCTCCGTAGGATCCACCAGAGAGCCGAATCATACGGTTGGACGGCCGTCCTCATGGTCAACGACACCGCAGGAAACGCCAGGAACATCACCACCCACTATGGCTGCTTGACGCTACCCAACGTGCAAGCTCACGCAGTCGCCTACTTGAGGCTCCAGCAGAGAGAACACCAGGCATCAGTCTGCCTCCGAAAGCTCATCATTGCCTCGATCACGCCGAAGCTGGCAGACAGGCTGTCCACTCATGCGGATGATTACACGGTCGACACAGCGGCAGTCGCAGTGCCCCCAAACGCACCAATCATGATTGAAGATGGAACCACGATGCTGTACTCCCTGATCAAGCTGGTTTCAGTCGAGACCAGAGCCACCGTGGCAATCATCACAAAGAAACTCAGCAGCCTCGATCAGGTCATGGAGAGTGTCAAGTCCAACGTTGAGGACTTCAACGTCGCAGTCGAAGACCTCATCTCCCAACTCAATGCTAGGAGCATTGAGATTCCACCGATGCTCGAGAACCTCTTCGAAGGATATGCTTGCTGCGACGACCTCAAGTTCGTCGAGTATATCGCCCGGAAGCAGGAAGCCTATGAAGATAGCACCATCAACCTGGAATACGGGGAACTCATGAAGATGGCGCTCGAAAAGTACAAGATCCTCGTCGACAAGAAGATGTGGCTCAAAAAGACTGAGCAAGAGATCGAGATCCTAGCTCTCAAGGCTGAAGTCGTGCAGCTGATGAAGAAGGGGTCGTCGAAGCCAACCCCTGCTGCCTCTGGCGGACAGCAGAAGAAGTCAACAGGCGCCTCAAAGGGCGATGACAAGTTTGCGTGGAAACAAGTTCCACCGGCGGATGGAGATCCACATGATAAGAAGGTCAATGGCAAGGAGTACATCTACTGCCCTCACCACGATACCACCAAATGGGTGCTCAAGGTGAACAACAAGGGCATCGAACACCGTACCGGTTGCTCCAAGCTCAAGGATAGTACCGGAGGATCCGCACCAAACGGACAGATGGCTGCCGCTCTCGCCAACGTGATGGAAGACGCTGGCACGGACACGCACCAGCAGGTGCCCAATGAAGAGAACCCCTGATGGGGATCGGACAGAGAGACGATGACCAACGTACTTGTAAACCACTATAGTGATCAAGCTTGTGTTACTCAGTCCCTGTCCGTAGTCGTGATGAAAATCATCATAGTGATCGCACAATGGATGGCGATTGCATCGAGATCAAGGAGAGCAACTGTGGTTGCCCTGCTCCAAGTAGAGAGAATGCTGGATGACGCTGCGAGAGAAGCACAACTGACGTTGTGGTTACTACTCTTGTCGGCTGACAAAGCATGCGAACTCATGAATTGGGGCGTCACGTTCGGTAGTCACTGGGCGTCATGGGTAGTACTTGCGACAATATTCGCAAGCCCAGCTCAAGTGATGTGTCACATTGGAGCGATAGCTCTAGCATGTGCTGTCGATGCCTGCACGTTTGCAGTAGCAACAACTGAGACAGGATTGTCCGCAGCCGTCTTTTACGCAGCATGCAGCTGCTCATTTGGCTGGGCGATTGAAGATCCAGGTCCGCCTCCTTACGTGCCGAGAAGAATGCGTGGCACGAAACCGATCAGAAGGTGGTTGGGCGACAAGAGCATCGCGGTCAGTCAATGGACCAGAGCGGCCGCGGCCCAATTCGTGACCATTGTCGTGATCGTCATATCACTCAATGCCCTTGCGATCCAAGATCAGCTGGTGTACCGGAGACCAAGGATGATGAAGAGGACCCAGACGGACCCTACAACAAGGCCGCCGGCAGACACTCCAGGGCGACGCCAACGATGCTTTGGGACATCTTCGCGTCCAACAACAACCATGAGCCCACAAAGTTTGAGCTCTTCATGAGGTTCCTGAATGCATTGAAAGGGGGCCTTGCTCTGTCAGTACACGAGCGCGATCCAGTGGTAGCATTCCAGTTGGTAATGCTGTCGCTCAACGGAACCTTCAATCGCAACACAGGAGATCATCAGTTCGACACTGACTCAGTGCTGATAGCAATTGACAATTGCTCATCAAGATGCATTACCAACTGCATGAAAGACTTCATCGATCGACCAGTAGCGGTCAAGGTATCAGTTCAGGGAATAGGAGGTTCTGTCACAGCAACGTACAAGGGCACAGTCAGGTGGTCAATCGAGGATGAACAAGGCAAAGTGCATCACTTCGTGATCCCTGACACGTACTTTAACGCAGCGACGCCATATCGGCTGCTGTCACCACAGCACTGGGCGTCGGTGGCAGATGACAATGAACCAAACAAGAGAGGGACGTGGTGTGCCACGTACCAAGACGCTGTGGAGTTGTTCTGGCGGCAACGGCAGTTCAAGAGGGTGATCCCGTTGTCACCAACGAACAACATTGCCCTTGTCAGGACTGCCCCGTCATTCACCAAGCTCCACTCGTTCTGCTCAGAGATCAGCGCGGCTTGCGCAGATCAGCCAATTGATGAGTCCGAGTTCATGTCCATGCCAGCAGTCGAAGTGTCCGACGAAGACTCATCGGACGGCAGTGATGACGAGTCATCCGAAGACGACGGAGAGGATCTCCTGCAAGGAAGGATGCACCCGGACCTTCCACCGGGAGTATCAGAACAACAAAAGGGAAGTCAGGCCTTCCAGGATGGAGTCACTCGTGATTTCGTCATGGGAAAGGACCTGCGAAAGATCAGTCAAGTTCCTGTAGTGGACCATGACTACACGGAGTACAAGTCTCCGAGAGCCGACATCTTGGCATGGCACTATCGACTGGGACATGTGTCGTTCGAGAAGATCAGGAGACTGGCCGAAAGAGGAGCCTTGCCATCGCATCTGGCTAAGGCCAGAGCACCACAGTGCTCCAGTTGCATGTTCGGTAAGGCAACGCGGAGACCGTGGAGAACTAGGGCGCCACCGAACAAGATGGCCGTGCCCAATGCAAAGGGATCTGGGAGTGTCGTTGGTGTGGATCAGATGATCTCATCGACTCCTGGATTGGTCGGCCAGATGCGAGGATTCCTGACCAAGAGGAGATACACCGTGAGCACGGTGTTCGTTGACCACTACAGTGGTCTCTCATACGTCCATTTTCAGACGTCCACTTCGGCAGAGCAAACGATCTTGGCCAAGCGCTCATTCGAGCGATACGCCGCTTCTTTCGGAGTCAAGATCAAGCACTACCATGGAGATAATGGTATTTTTGACAGCAAGGCCTTTGTTGAGGAAGTGCATCGGTGTGGTCAGACCATCACCTATGCAGCCGTCAATGCGCATCATATGAACGGACATGCAGAGAAGAAGATCCGGGATCTCCAGGAGTCCGCGCGGACAATGATTCTTCACGCCAAACAGAGATGGCCAGCAGCCGTCACGGCGAACCTATGGCCATTTGCAGTGAGATACGCCAATGACTTGGCAAATTCCACGCCAATTCTGAAGAAGGCGGAGCATGTGACGCCAATGGAGCTGTTTGCTGGAGTTGATGTCGAACCGAAGGTAAAGGACACGCACACGTTCGGATCACCAGTGTACGTCCTCGACTCGCGACTGCAACAAGGGCAGCAGATCTCCAAGTGGGAACGGAAGGCAAGGATCGGCATGTACGTTGGAATCTCTCCGCGACACTCAAGGAAGGTGGCATTGGTTCTCAGTCTGCAAACGGGGCTCGTCTCCCCGCAGTTCCACTGCCAGTTCGACGACCTCTGTGACACGCTCAGACGATCAGCAGGTAACTTGATACCGCCATCCAAATGGCAAGCCAAAACCGGTTTCGAAGAAGACGCAGTTCCGTCATTGTCGAAAAGAAAAGTGAAGAAGCCCAGCGAAGAGAACGAGTCGCGAGCTCCCGTGATTGAAGTTGACACCGATCGCGAGCAGGACTCCACGTTACCAACACAAGAATCGGAACACTTTCCGACGATGGACGATGAACAAGCGACGGCCAATGACCAAGAGAGTGCCGATGAGGCAGAGCATTTGCCAGTCGATCAAGGTCATGTACAGGCCGATACAAGGACCGACAGGTACTCGGCAGGGCGATCGACCAGAGCCGGCAGAAGGGTCAGAAGGCCACCGGAATTAGACAAGTATGTGGTCTACTCAGCCATACCATGGGAGGTTTTCCACGACGGTGGATATCAGATTCAAGATGAGATGGACGATCCAATTGCGTTCGCCGCCTCGTCGAACCCCGACATCATGTACATTGATGGAGCAATGACGGCGCATGACTCCCAGAACGTGTAGAGAAGCAATGCTAAAGGAAGTCAAGTCGCATGAAGTGAACGGGCATTGGAAGATCGTGAATCAAGACACGATGCCCAAGGGCACCAAGCTATTGCCTGCGGTGTGGGCATTACGCAGGAAGAGGAGGATCTCAACGCAGGAGATCTACAAGTGGAAAGCCAGACTCAACGTTCATGGTGGAAAACAGACTAAGTTTGTTAACTACTGGGAAACTTACTCCCCGGTAGTTGGCTGGTCAACCATCAGAGCATTTCTCATCCTCATGCTGATCAACAAATGGAAGTCGCGACAGGTGGATTTCGTCCTGGCGTTTCCTCAGGCCGACATCGAATGCGACATGTACATGGAGGTTCCTCAGGGATTCAGCGTCGGTCATGGCGAAGCTCGAAGGCGCGTGAACGTTACCCTCAAGCAGACCAAGCGACAAGAGATACATATTACGGAGACCATTGCCTCCTACTGCAGAAGACACCTGTATCGGGTCAAAAAGCAGGCAGGACGCGTTTGGGAACCGAGTACATGCATGTGGCCTGGTCGCGAGAGGATTCAAGACAGAGCACAGTCGACATGTGCGTCTATTACAAGGGATCTGTCGTGTTGCTCGTGTATGTCGATGACGGAATCTTCATTGCACTCGACTGAGCGGGAGGTGTTGTTCGACGCGCATACATCGTTGTCGAAGCCCATTCACCGGACAACGAATGGAGAACACACAGAGCATTCGTGAGATGACGCAATGTGACAGAAGAGCGACGAGTCTTGTCGTGAGCGTATCTTGGTAAAGGAGCCATGCAACGGCATATAAGACTCTTGCCAGCAATATCGGAGTGCTCTCGGAGGTCATCACGCATGTTTATTTTTCGTTCTATCAATGATGAGACAGCACCATGAGACCGACTCCACGTATCCGAACACGTGTATTTTCGAAAGACCAAGTGCCAACTGGCGCCCAGCACTGGTGCGATTACACAGAGAGCAGTCCACGGAGCAAGATGAGGATACGACGAGGAATGGCAGTACAGGAGCGTGATTGGGAAGTTGAACTTTCTGGAGAAGTCAACGAGAGTAGACTTGGCATATGCAGTGCATCAGTGTGCTCGATTCTCTGCAGAGCCAAAACAGTCCCATGCAGCGGCAGTCAAACGGATTGGGAGGTACTTGGTCAAGACCAAGGACCGTGGATTCATCATTAACCCAAAGTCCTGTTCATTTGACGTGTTCGTTGATGCAGACTTTGTGGGAAATTGGAACAGGGCCACCGCGGACGTCGATCCTGGAACCGCGAGATCAAGAACGGCCTTCGTGATCATGTACGGTGGTTGTCCGGTCGTGTGGGCATCCAAACTACAAAGAGAGGTGGCACTATCGACGACAGAAGCCGAATACAACGCCATGTCGGAGTCATTGAGAGACACCATCAGTCTCATGCAGCTCATTGAAGAAACGAAGAAAGAGCTACGATGGAGAACACACGACAAACCACCGAGTAGTCATTGCAAGGTCTTCGAAGACAACAGTGGAGCCTTGGAGATGGCATTGCTACCCAAGATGCGTCCTAGGACGAAGCACATTTGGTAAGATGCATCACTTCAGGGATTTCGTTAGAGACGGCAAGATTACTCTACACAAGATCCCAAGCAGGTATCAACTCGCTGACATAGCAACGAAGCCTCAACCACAAGCTCTCTTCGAGTCTCAACGTGAGAGCATCATGCAATGGACGGCCGAGCATATGACAGCAGCAGAGCTCCTGCAGCCCGGAGAGCATCTGAGGGCGTGTGAGATAGTGAGGGATCATGAGATCCTCAACAATCTAGGCAGTCAGCATGCTCTCAACCCTGCCAGTAGCCCTGCATCCTCAACTGAAGGGAATTGAAATATGGGCAACAGAACAGTTGAGAATGTAGTTAGATAATCAGTACTATAGTCACAATGTAGCACTCAAACCCTCAGTGGATTGCGACCGAAAGAGACAGAGACGAACCAGATTGTGGATATCAGTACAGAGCAGGAGGGAAGGATCAGTGATCTAGAAACAATGGTCACAGCTGCTGTGGACAAGCCCGACATCAGTCAAGCTGAACAAGAAGCTCTTGCTGAGATAGCCAAGGCAAATGCATCTCTGCGAAAGGAACAGCGCAAACAGTATGGTGTGGGCTTGTTTGGCGATGGCGATGGCGGCGACTACTGATCGTGTTTTCCTGCGTCAGAAGAGGGCATGACTATGCTTGCTGGTCAGCAACCTTCGCGGGCTAGAGTTTTTCCATATTTCCAGCTGTTCGAAATGAAGACAGGCTGCTGCCAAAAAACAATCATATTTCTTAATAAGGACTGTCTCCATATATTATTGGGTTGGTCTTTCTCGGTGTAGTGTCTGATATCTTCAATTGCTGGCCAATACCAACAGCATACAAATGTCATTGTGTGTGACGGTACGTTCGTTTCTTGGTTCAAGTGCTCCGGTTCTGACCTTGCGGCAAGACTTCAACGTGTCCGCTTCTTTGGATAAACTGATGTGGGCTCTTACACGAACATTCAAAGCCCGCATCAAAAGGTGGGTTCCTGCAAGTGTGCTAACACTATCTTGGTGCTGCATAGGTCGCACCGAATACCGATTCAACGGCAACCAGGACAGTCATGAGAATCACTGTCCCCAGCAAGACCATCACCTGTACCACGATGCTCTGGCTGTGGACATCATGAGTAAACTTCTTTGCAAAAGCCACATAGGACGGCATTCCCTCTTCATTGTCGTCGTGACTGCAGAGTCGAGGCGACAATCCCAAGCATACCTGTCGCAGCGGAGACAACCCGATATGCATGTAGGTGTGGTGCGGGATGGCGTTCCATCCGTTGTTCAATTGGACGTAGTCTTTGCTGCCTACTTGCAAAGCCACATAGGAAGAAGCCACAATTCCGTCAACAACGATTGTCCCAGTTGTCGTAAAGGGAGCATAAACGCCTTTCCGAATAACGTTGTCGACTTCGATTACTTCGACTCTGGAGTTGCCATCTTTCCCGTGAAGCACATCACCCTCCTGAATCGAATCAGCCCGCACTGGATACGCCTCCCCGTGGAGAAACACTAGATGTTCCGGCGTTATTTCCAAGCTCCCCTGGACTGTTTGAATCTGCACAAATGAAGCCAGCTTGCTCGTGTGACGGTGCCCAAAGGCATAGACGGGAGCATAGGAACGATCATTTGTCAAGACTTGATCCCCCACACGTAGATCCATGATTGGAACAGGTTCCGAGCGGCCTTGTACCTCCACTGTTGCTCGTTCCGAGAAACAACCAAACCCAATGATTTCACCAAGATCAATGTCCTGTAGAGCACGGCTCCGAGTTGGCTATCATGGCGTTGAGGAAGTTGGAAAGCAAGTGTGCTAAAGCGTTGAGTATATTGGTGACAGGGATCAGGCGAACGTGCAAGAGACAACCCTAGACGGACTCACGTGAGTTGCCCCTTTCAAGCCTTCGGCCAAGGCAAACTGTACGAGACTGGACCCCACGAGAGAAGAAACAACACCAAAGATGACAGATAATTTTGCAGGCGTCATGGTAGGCAATTCGTATTATGCGCCGTGCAGGTTGCATGCAATGCAGAACGCACTCAGCAGAACAAAGTTCTTTTATGTCTCGATCAGATTCGCTTCGACTCGACCATCTTGGCTACACCACAATTGAGGCCGATGGCTTCCGTACGGTACGGACCAATTTTCGTTGAAAGAGCCATCTTTGTGTCGCCCAATGGCGCATCGGCAGACCAAAATTGGCCAACACCAGATCCCAGTATTTGCAACACGATGTGCTTGACGCGTTTACGGCTTTTTCACGAGTGAAACGATCCCAGTGGCTAGTAGTGCACAAAAACCGGAAGCGGTAACCTGCGTCCATAGGTACATCACCGTCTCCAAACCATTCATCCGGTACGGTACCGTACTGGTACGGGCTGCCGGCTAGTACCCACTCGCTACCAGCAGCTGGCAGGGAAGTGAACGCCGTTGCGTCTGCTTCGTGGGCTTTTCATGACTGTGACTCCACCAGCCTGCACACAAGGAGTGCGGAGCACCCCTGCGCACTCGACTCCACGACGGAGCACTCGGGTGACACAGCTTGTCTCTCTTAGCACTCCTATGCATATATGTATTTTATGGGTAGGGTAGGTCTCTGTCAAACACAGTATAGCACTCTCCTTTTTGCTGCATTTGATATATGTTCTCGCTAATAGCTAGTCTCTAGAGATTCGATTCCTCGGTTGGCTACTACGAAACTTGGCTTTGCGTGCAACCACATACATGTCCATGAAAGGAAACGTCGAGTTTGTTGCTAGAAGAAACAGAAACATTGCATCGACTAGCCATCCCACCCCAAACTCTATCAAAGATCTTCATCATGCTTCTTCCTCTTCTTCCTTGTAATGGATGATCCTGACGTTCCTTCTCCATCATCCTCACGAAGACCTTGCACCAATGTATTCACCTCATCTGCCAATTGACGCATTTCTCCTGCAATTTCTTCCAAACGACTCAATGTTTCAGCTGTCGTCAGTGAATCGTCTGCAGTGGTGCCACCATCCAAGACTTGTGCATACTCGGGGGAAATCTGCGGTATGGCCCCATTTGGCAAGGTAGCTCCACAGGATACTGTGTCAGTTTCGTTGCAGCAGGGATTGGCAAACCAATCACAGTCTGGCAAGATCAAATCTTGCTCCCCCACAACTAAAAAGCACTCGAGTTCTCCCACATTGGGAACAGTTTCTCCTGTGGGATCCAGCAATTCCCCACCTGGAGGAGAATTTCCAGGTATAAAGCGTTGGATGACCAAGGGTGGATCCACATCACTTTCCAAAGCAGTGTAGGTTTGGCCAGCATCTGTACCTGCATCCCATGGCTTGACTTGAATTTTGATGTGATCATACCAAGTGCGAGAGTACTCATCAATGAGCCAATAACTGTAAAACCCTGTGTACCAATCTGGGCTGGGCATGATGCTGGCCATCATGGAAAGGTAGGGGAAGTTGAAGTCCGCCTCAATGGATGGAATATGAACAAAGTTGGTTTCGCTGACGAAAAACTGATCTTCCTCATATTCCTGATATTCCCAAACTTGGGTAGCTTGCTGCTCCATCTCTAATATCATTACATCAGCGAATCCATCCTGGAAATTGAACAAGTCAGAATATACTTCAATGCAAAACTCTTCTTGAAACAACAGTCTACCAGTGGCTCGATTTCTCCTTACCTCTGCCATCTTTTCCACCCCCCGGGTGACAGCATAGTTTGCAAGCCATGGCTGGAACTGCAAGGTATGGGTCCACAGGATAGGTCCTGCCCACCGTCCTGATGAGGGAAAGTTGACAGGCTGTCTTGCTTCTGTCCAAAGATTCCGGAAGGTACAGTGATAGGCCACTCGTTCCACAGTATCTGCATCTGTGATTCCTGTGGTTTCAACCAAGACATCCTCTTCATTGCCCACTGCATGGATCACGTCCAGGAAGGAAAGCACCAGTACGGACACTAACAATCCCAACTTCATCATTTATTTTTTGACTCGAAGTCAACCTGCCGAGTTTTGGCAAATTTTGATTTTTCGGAGACATTTCGCGAAACATTTGCCAAATTTGTGCTCCGGTATCCGCGACTTCAAAGCACGAATGTGCAACAAAGGGAGTGACAGGCACCTCTCATTCGAGCCATGCATTATTACAGCCACCAAAAGCAGCCTCTCGGTACCACCAACCACCAAAGCGACGATGACCCGAAAAAGGCTGATGATGGTGTTGAAAAGAGGTTGCTATAGTGTTGTGTTACTACTTGGTAGTTGTTGTGTGGTTGATTTTAGTAATCTGGTAATCTGGTAACTGGATAGTCATAAATCGCTACCACAGGTCATTTTCGGTCCCCTCAAGCTAGAGGGGGATCTATCTCACGCTAGATTGCACTTGAAATGGGAAAACAGACTTCGGAAGTCTGAAACAGGATGTACCCTTGGGGCAAGGCCCCTTGGAGGCTCAGACCTGCCGTTCACCAAACGGCCCACCCTATGGTCATGTTGCCTTTTGCAGATTGTTAGTAGAGGACTTTCGAAACCAGTCGCTGTCTCACAGGCCCGTTCTGGATCTTCGTCAACATATCCGCCAAATTGCTCTCAGTACTCTCATATGTGATGTTTGCCATGCCTGCAGCGACTCTTTCCCGGACATAATGATATGCGACCGAGTTACTCTTTTTCTTCAAAGTAGACTCCGGGATGCTCGAGTTCTTGATCACGGACATGTTGTCCGCCTTGACATGAGCCGGGCCATCGAGAGGAACTCCCATCATCCTGAGCTTGTATCGCAAGCCTTCCACAATCTCAAACCCGACCTTTATCGCTGCAGTGCGAGAACGACGAGTCACCTTATCTCCAGCGTGATCGGAGTCCACAAATGCAGTGATCTGGACTGGCTTGCCAAGTGGCTTCGGCATATCCGGTGGCAACAGCTCCTTTGCATCAGCATATGTGAGATGTCAGCAGTGTCCCCTGTCAAAAGAGTAGCGGGAACTTGACCATCCAACTCTCGGATCGGTAATGCGGTATGACTGCGAGTCAGCCCGCAGAAGACGAAACACATGTCCCAAAGGCATTCCAAGCTGTCAGTAGTCGTCATTGTTCTTCTGTAAGTTCTCTTCAGCTCTCGGATTAGGTCTTCCGCGAAGTTCTGGTTGGGTGTGTAAGCCTCAACTGGATGGATAGGGCACTGAACTCGTTGTGCCTTTCGTCGAAACTCTCCCATGGTAAGCTCCTTCGCGTTGTCTGGGATCAGGACTCTTGGTATTCCAATCTTCTGGAAAAGTGAATCTAAGGTCAAGTGAGCCTCCGACTTGGTCTTCATCGGGTCAACATGGCACCAATGAAACGGTGTGCAGTAGACCTGGGCACACTTGTTTCCCAGGAGGGAAGTGACCTTGCCGTAAACAGTGTCGGTATACATTTCAACGTTGAGCCGAGGATATCTGAGTTGATACGCCAATGGCTTCATCCTCCGTCCTCCACTCGCGTGGGTGAAATCACGAACCGCTCGCTGAGTTGTGTTCGCGATGGTTTTCTTGGCTGCTTCCAACCCAATATTCCACCGCTTGGCAAGTGCTTCCGCTGACACGGCTCCCTTCCTGGTAGGGGGTTTCGTCTTGGTAGCAGAGATCTGGGCTTGAAGGGCTGGCCCAAGACTGTTGACGTCAATTGCAACGGATGATCTTGATTCCAGAATTGACCTGATCGACTGAATTCTCCTATTCCGTCCCCTTTCACTTGGCATGTCCGAATCCAAAGCGGCTCTGAGAGAGGACTCGAGGTCAGCCGACTGGGGATCTTGAGGGTTCCAAGGAGATTCGGATGTCATGTGAACGTGAACGAAGTGATCTGGAGAATTGACTTCATGGGCAGTGGGCTTCCGAACCTGGAAGTATGAGATAACACCGTCCAGTTGGAGTGGGATTCGTAGGTCACCACAAATGATGGAGTGGGATTCATTGGTTCTGTCTTCAAACGGTAGGTGCAACAGTGGCACATCGTTGACAACTAACTGGTGATGTCGCAGCTGAGCTGGACAAATGAGATTGTTCTGTAATGACTTGATAAGCAAAGATTGATGGAAGAATAAAATATAAATTTGAGATGTGAGTGGGTCGTCATAAGCCACAGCCACAGTTACAATTGGTACTTCGTGTATGGTTCCAAGATCAGTTGAAAACCCTTCGACGGATATAGTCTCTCCCGTGTCGTGTAGTCTCTCCCGTGTCGTGTACCACGTAAGCACTTTCCCCAAAGGAACATGTATCGGCATGGCTGTCAAGCTCAATCCGAGATGATGGCAAATGAGTAGCAACGGATCGCAGAGTGCGAACAGCAGAGACTCATGCTCGCCTATTCATCGCATTGCCCACGCTAGATCCGCCAGGAACATCAGTCCGGGATCGTTTCTCGGCTTGCAATTCCGAGACTTGGGACTGGGTATCTGTCAACTGTGTCTGCAGCTCGGCAATCTTCCGCTTGTCACCATCGCGGGCGTCCCTAGCCTGTTGCTGCTGCGCCGATGTGAGCTGAGCCCACTCATCGGGATGGTAATATCTTCCTGGGTTATTGGGGTCAAAACCCCGGCCTTCATGGCCTCGACCACGGCCTCGTCCCCTGCCTCGGCCTCTTCCATAGCCTCGGCCTTGGGATCTACCACCGCCACGTCCTCGTCCTCTTCCACCACCGCCTCGACCACGGCCAGACACAGATGAAATATTTCTTGTGGGTCGAGTGGGTTCAGCGACATCAAGTTGCTCGGCTAAGTAATTCATAGCCTCCTGGAAACTCTCGCGTAGATGCGGAGTTGCTTGAATGACGGACTTGGCGGTCTTGAGGTTTGGGTCTGTAATGCCGGACAGAAGCTTGCGAATCTTGCGGCTCTCAGTAAAGGTTTCACCAGCGGTTTCCAGATCGGTGAAGGCCTTGGTAAGCCTTTCACAGTAGCGCTCAAAAGTGAAGTTGCGGGACTTCCCATCAAAGAAAGTAGTTTCAATGGCTCTATCCGCGAATGCCTTGGTACGAGCCTGGAACGAATCACCAAGATAGTGAAACTCGACCGTTCTGTTGCGCTGCGCAACGTTGGACCCATGTCCAACCAGGTCCACCGTGAGTAACCGACCGAATGATGGCCCAAACAGCCTGATTGTCTTGTACGAAATGAGGTCCAGTATGTCTTGTTCTTCGGACCAATTCTTCAGGATGCGATGGAAGGCCAAAACCTGGGTCAGCCTCATCTGCAGTGTCGGTATCAGGTGCTCCTGGCAAAGTGACTTTGGATCTCGTAACATAAGCCAGAGGGGCACCGCAAACGCCTCGCTTGACATTCAGAACATTGTCAATAGACTCCAGAACTCGTCGGACATCTTCGACCTTCAAGAGTTGGGGAGGATCCGCAACATCGATCTCTTCTCGTTCGGACTCGTATAAAGCCCAAACTCTATTCAATCTCGCCAAACTGGCTTGGTTGGGAGTGAACTCACGCTGGATTCGTGTCATATGAAACTTGTAGAACCGTAGTTGTCTGAGTCGCTTCTCAAAGACAAATCCCAGCTGTCGTCCACGATTGGGAACTTCTCTGGGCTGAACTGCTGCGGCAGCTTCATCAGTGGCTGCAGCCGCAATGGCTGGATTTGGAATGGTACCACCTGGTTTCCTCACGTTCTCGCAGATGCTCTTGATATCAGCATCGGTAAAGGTATCGAGTGAGACGAAGGCATCCAATCCTTGATCATTCAATGCTGTCCTCGTGGCTAATTCGGCAATACCGATGGTATTCTGTAGATAGTTGTTCATGGCTGCAAGATTGCCTGCCATATTCGCCTCCAATTACTTCTTCTCTTGCGGTATCACTTGGATGAGCAATAGTTGTTGGGTCTTCTTCTCTGCTCCTATTCCAACAGCAAACTGTACACACCCAGACAAGTAAGGCTGTATTCCACGGAATGAGCTCTGCACACCCAGTCTGTGGCAGTCTAAGCCAAAACTCTTGGATCAGGCGTCCCCTCTCCTTGGCTCAATCGATTTCTTTGGTGACAATGAGGCAGGAATTGATCCAGACTGGAGGGATCAATATTCCAAGTCCAAACCTCTGCTTCCCACTTGGAAGTCTCTATCTCTCGCTCCACTTGAGAGAGCCCCTTCTTCTTGAGACGTCTTCTGTTGCTATGCCGCTTGGAGGTCTTCTCTTCTTCTCTTGTTCCTCTGCCGATTACACTGGCAATGAGGATCTCTTCGCGTCGAGTCGTCTCTCTTCTTCTTCTCGTCGTCGTTCGAACGGTAGCTCCGAGTCGGTAGCTTCGAATCGGCGACAATGGCGCTGCTTCGACTGAACGAACGGTTAACAGACTCCTTCTTCTTCTTCTGGTTAACGAACGATCGGGACAATGGTTGCTTCGGACGTTGCTTCGAACGGTAGCTTCGAACGAACGGTATCTTCTTCGACAATGGCGTTCGTTCGTTCGAACGGCTCTTCTTCTTGTCGCTCGCAACGACCGATCGCTTGTTCTTCTATCGATCGCTAGCTAGGGTAGCTTCCACGCCTGATAAGCCGAAAAAGGCTGATGATGGAGGAAGGAAGGAGGTGTTGATAGAGAGGTTGCTATAGTGTTGTGTGTGTTACTACTTGATTGTTGTGGTTGATTTCTAGTAATCTGGTAACTGGATAGTCATAAATCGCTACCACAGGTCATTTTCGTTCAGGGCACTAGACTGAGTAGAGCTGATGATCCGTAATAGTAGAAAGGCAACGATCCATTGGCTTTCAAATATGACTAGATCTACTGGTTGGTTTGATAACTCTGACAAGATCTTCAAATCCATACATCCAACTATTGAATTCGTCAGGTACAAAGTGTACATGTAGTTTCCGAGGTGGGTGGGGGATTCAGGATTTCTAAAGATCTAGACCGGGAAGGCACCCGGTGACGTCATAAAGTCGTGTTTTCTTGAAAGTCGCGAAAATCGCCAAAAGTCGCGCTCTTTCGCGACTTTAAAAGTCGCGAACGACTTTACCACGACTTTACCGCGACTATTATCGCGACTTTCGCGACTTCCGCGACTTTACCGCGACTTTACTAACAAAATCACTACATTTCACCACGACTTTGCCGCGACTTTTACCGCGACTTTTAAAGTCGCGCACGACTTTACCGCGACTTTATCGCGACTTTAATAGCGACTTTAATGTGTTTTAGCGATTTTACAACGACTTTTGCTATGTAAACGCGACTAACTATCGCCAACCGAATGCCTTCCGGACGTCCAAAATTAAATCATCAGAACTGTAAAAGCACTGTTCCATGCCTACAGTACGTAAAGGGTTTCAGTCGTGGCCCGCGCGGCCGATTCAGGAGCGGTTATTTCTGCGTTATTTACAGAATCGTAGATCTTCCACGTCGCAATCTGTCGCTTTTTGATGGGCACAGCGCTAGTGCTTCATCTAACTCTACTAGCTAGTATCATAGTAGTAACAACAACAATGACGGATAGAAGTGAAAGAAATCGACCCAAACGGCGAACGAGAAGGGCCACGAAGCCTCTCCGTTGATGTTGAATCTCTCCGTGTGGCGACCACGGTAGATTCGCCTCCATCGCTCGCACAGGCATCAACGACTTCGACTTCAGCTATGCGAACGGAGGCCGATGTGCAGTACGATGTAGACATGGGATGACACAAAAGAATAAGCTAAAAATTAAAAGGGGATTCTACGTCTACCTCGTTCTAGCGAGTCCCGGGAGGTTCACCTC